GCTTCATACTGTAAATTTTGCATATAATAATACGCATACATATTTGATGCAAGCAAGGCTGATTTCAACTCCCCCTTTTTGCTCCACACGTGCTTCCTATATATGTGGAATATTTGAAGAACTCGGGATTTTACGGTACTATGGAATACAGGAAGTGAAGAAAAAATATACGCGCTTAACATTTGCTCGCAAATTAATTCTGACAGGGTAGTATGCGATGACGTTGGTTAAATATTTGAGAAACTAGGTATAGTCACACTTTGATTGCACATTTTCATGTAAAATTTGCACGAAAGCAAAAAACGTGCTAATAATAAATTGTCGTGTAATAACTTCAGCTCTGTGTAACGTTACGTGACACGAAAAGCACACTCTTCATACACCTGCATTTTATAAATTATAAAATGACAATTTCTAATCTCTCTTCACAAATGGATAATATTTTTTTCTACTGCATGATTTAAACGTGCATGATAATGTGACCATAAAGAGCCATTACATTTAAAAATTTTAAATCTTTCATTTTTTGCCATTTCTTCCTTTAAAAAAATTTTCCTCCATCTTATTCATCTTTTAAAAAAATTTTCTGCTACTACTTTAGCTACAGAAGATAACTAGGTCTGTTTTACAAAATGTCTAACACTAAAATTTTAGGTCTTTCATTTTTTGCCATTTCTTCCAACAAAAAAATTTTTTTCCATCACATTCACCCTTTGAAAATATTTTCTCCTATCTGTTTTACAAAACCCACCCTATATACTGCAAAGGCAACTTCAGATTGCCTAATTAATCGGTGGAAAAGGTACATTTCACCTTTACCGACGAAGCCTTATCAACCGCTAATCCTCACGCTAATTACACCGCTAAAATTATTAAACCGGTTTTTGCGCATCTCGATGACAACGCGCCATTGTCTCCCGCAACAACGATACCGTTCCCCACGCCCCCCTCCCCCCCTTTTTACGCGGTGCCGCAGCGTCGTTTACAATAATATAAACGACAATAGTAAATAGCCTCATCTGCAATTACAATGGGCCACTTAGCGCGCTATAAATTACAAAGTGGCTGCTCGCGAGGCATCCGAATTAAGGGAATCATTCTTTCATCGTGGAATAAGAAAACTTTCTTTTCTCATCTCAGTCCAATTCCCGGCTGCTCGTATTCCGGAAGTTACAGCAAAGGGGACAGCCAGAATTGGTGGCTATTTAATTAGCCGCTTCGAAAGTCGAGTTTCCGCTATTTCCCCCACTCCTCCCACCACTGCACCAATAGTGAAGAAACTGTAGTACGAATGGCGATTCGTCGTCGTTGTCGTCGTTGGACGAATAATAACGCGAGACGAGTTCGATAATTAGTTCTCGATAATAAGGGGCAATCGCGATACCGGGTGGTCGGTCAGAAATAGAATATCACGATACAAGGAAACGTTTAAAGAAGGAGTTTTAATGGTTAATAACAAAGCGGATGAGAGCTACGGAAATAATCTTGTTTATGAATTTGATCGGTTCGAGGAAATCGTCGTGAAAGTCTTCTTTGTTTCACCATCGTGATTAGAGATGAAATATTGCTAGTGGTAGATTAAATATGGAGAAACTGTGAATGTGCTTTACTTACCCTGTGTGTGTGTGTTTGTGTGTCCTGTGCGTGTGTAGAAAAAAAGGCAGGAACAAAAAGATAGGTTAGGTTGCGGAAATTCGAAACTGAAAAGTTTTCACGGAACGCCGCTCGTTTATTCCTTAAATTAATCCCCTAGCTCGAAGCCGGATTTTCTTCGCGATATCGATCGCCCCTTTGCAATCGTGTCGTTTGTCGCGCACGGTTCAGCGAATAAATCGTTCACCGTCCAGGTCGCTGATAAATATGTATCGTAAATCCATACACACTGGGAGAAAGACACAGAGAGAGTGAGTATGCGCGTGTGTGTAGAATTCTATATAGTGCACCAGGCCAGTCGGTTTTTCGGTGTACGGAGCCAACGGTGTTTTATAAAGTATAATTTCACTGCATATACAACCGAGAGGAGACCGCGCTAGCTCGGGACACAATGTACGCCGTTATGTCACACACGCGACCGTTTTAACTTTCAAACGCGATCCTAATATCAGATATCGGGGCAGATCGATAACCGTCCCGCCGCTCTCTCGACTCCATTAATTGCTCGTAAATGTTGGAAATTGATTTTTTAAAACTCTCCCTTTGTGTGTGTCGATATGTGTACATAGGTACAATGGACCTGTGCGTCTGGCTACGAGAGTCTGTTCGTCTACTACGTGCATATGGTACAGGGCGAGCCGAATACGAAGTTTAATAAACGTGCAGGCCGTAAAACTTTTTACAATTACGAGAAAACACCGTACTGCGATCAGTTACGAGTGGAATTCCGGTTACGAGCACATTTTAAATAGTTTCGCGAACGTTCGATGTGCGTGGGTTAGAAATTGAGCGGGAAAAAGCGTGACGCGTAATAGTTTTTACATCGATAGATCGATTTTCGTGCTGTGACGTCACAATTTCTAACCGTCGTAAGTGACAAATCGCAAAGAAAGTTTTTTACGAGTGTTAGTAGCGCGAATGTTTCGTAAAAAGCTTCCGACGATGCTTTTCCTCGGTTTCGTTCGATAGTATCGCTTTTTTAATGCGCACTTCGAAATATATAAGCGAAAATGTTTATCGACTCACCGGTTTCGTCGTTGTTCGTTGACGACGCACTCGTCTACGACTTGGATGCTGCGTAGGCGATGAGGATCACTGGTTTTTCACTTGAACGGGTAAAACTTCGAGTTTATCTTTAATCTGGCACAATTTAAAGTATTTTCACGAGACGTGGACGTTTTGTTTGTCGCGCTTAATTAAACCGCCGTTTCGTTTCGTCCGGGAAAGAAACGAGAACTGGAGATGGTGCTGCCATCTGCAGTGGAAGCGGGAAAGTTTCTTGGCGGGAAAGATTAACCCGATACGATTGTCAATAGAAAAGGTAACTACACCTGTATATATTTGCAAATTAATTGAACTGTTTTACGGTCGAACGAACGAAATAAAAGAGACAATTGCGTCGCAGATATTTCCACAAAATTAGATTTTATTAGCTCCATTTTTTACAAGAACACGAGTCTTTATTACGTATCTGTAGTATGTATAAAAATTAATTTACATGCTCGTTAGAGTGAAACAATGAGAAAGGATATTAAGCTCGAGTTATAGTTTATATTCCACCGGTAACAGGATTGCGGAATCGCGGAGAGCTTCCTTAACGTAAGCGTCGTTATAAATTTTAAGTAACAACAAAGATAAGAGAGAGGGGGGTGGGGATATTAATACTACAAAAATTAACAAAATTATATATAGCTTTTATCGTGGTGAACTGTCGCAATGTGAAAAGTTCAGCGTTTCCACGCTTCTCGCATATGAAAGTAAACTAAAGAGTCGTGCAGCTAAACCTGACAGAGTAACATATAGCACCTGAACTTCGAAGACCACCGTAGCCGCAGAATTTCGCAATTTTAAAAGCTTTTTAAACCTTAACGATCCTGCATAATTACTGTAATAGTACGTCGTGCATCTTCATGCCACTCAAAGACCATTAAAATAGTTATTATCTTCGCGTGATGCTAATTTTGCGGCGACGGTCGTTCCTACCAAGAAAAGAAGGAATGTTTTATCTTTATACGCAGGATGCGGTTGGACGGATGGTACAACCGGGGCAGAGAATAATTCTACGCGTAAAAATACACCGAAAATATGCAATAAAATTTTTTCGTAGAGAGCTCGGTTGGCGAGAAAATTGTATTTGAAGTTTCGGTGGGTGTGCGTGCGTTTGACTATCTCCGCGACGTTCGCGCCCTCGAAACTTTCAATTAAATTTTCTCGATAACCAAGCTTCTTAGGAAAAAATTTGATCCCACATTTTCCGTTCATTTTTAAACGTAGAATCGCCCTGTACCGTTTATTTTCACCTCACCCTACGTATAACGGTGTATCGTTAAAATACAAAGAGCGCAGGAGACTTGAGAGAAAAGCACGCGTATCCTTGGAAACGAAACGTTCAATCTGGTGATTCTATTCGTGATAATCGCATCGTTTGGACGATCGTCGAATCGAAATCGACCGTGCGCCTAATTTCTGTACACAAAAGCACCTCGCTTAGTAAAATCCCGCGGTCTCGGAAACCGGAAACGCGATTCCCCGGGATTGAATTAAAACGAACCGAGATAATTGGGATTAATGCTCGGAGCCGGGGCAAGAAAGTTTGATTAATTCGGTCGGGAGAACGGCGCGCGATCTACGGACCTGGTTAACTTCTAATTGCCAACTTTCTCGCGAAAACACGAACGACACGGTGGTTGTCGTGGACGAGAAAAAAAGAGAATCGGCGAGTTAAATAAGGATCTTATTAAACGGATCTTATCCCTTGGCTGTGCTTACGCTCGTTATATCATCTCCTCGTTGGTGCTCGATACGTGAAAAGAACGTAAACGTACCTTTTTCACCGCGATTACACGTCGAAAACAATAAGATCACCGTAATTTCTAGAACTACGAAAGAACCTCAGTTGTCGCGGTTCATTCACGCGTTTCGCGTCTTTTACAAATGTCCCTCGCACCGTTCCCAGTGTTTTCCACAAAACCGGTTGCACTTTCCTCTCTGTTTTCCTTCGCTACCATCGCGGAACACCACCTTTTATAGTCGTCACCTGAATTAACTGGTTGTTTAACAGGTAGTCTTACTGGCAAGTATAAGGTTAATCTCGTGGATTTCAGCTCTTACGCGTGTCACACTCGAACATCCCAAAATTCGTAGGCAAAAAGTCGAAAAATAGAGTAGAATAAAAGAAGAAATAGAACAAAAAAAAAAGAGGAAGAACACGATGGTAAGGGAACTTGCAGCACCTTTAAGTCCAGAATCACGTGAGCCAATCTCTCCCACGATGCACGCGCGATACTTCTTCGTATATATCCTTATCGAATCGAGCCAGCGAAATCGTTCCATATATATATGTGTGTGTGTGTGTGTGTATCATATAAATACGAAATCGTAGTCGTTGATCGCTAGTTCCTCTTGCTAGAGTTAATCAGATACTTGCAGCAGTGCGTGAGCAAGTGCTTTTCACCGGTGATGTCATGCGGCACGTTTGTCGGACTGGTTGATTCCCTGGTGTAAATGTCCAAACCGTACTGGCCCTCTTCGGGAAAGCTGATCGAGAAAGTCACCACGTCGTCGTCGGCGATCGAGTGCGTGACGTATTTGGACAGCCGTTTTTCCTCGATGCCATTTTTGTGCAACGTCGCCATGAAGTCGGTCAGCGGTCTCGACATTCGAAATTGGATTTCTAGCTCGCGACCAGCGAACACCAGTGCCTCCTACGGGGGAAAAGTCGCGAGAAAATGAAATTTTTCGCGAGAAACAACAATCGCGTTCACACGTTCCGAAGAAAAAAGTACGTTTCTCTTTTACCTGATGAGTGATCGGTATCAGACCGAACAATCTCGTGGCTTTCGTCGGTCCCCATTCGCCGCTGGCGCAGTCTGGCAAAGGTACCATCACCGTTTGCAACTCCTCGCAGGCGATTTTGAATTTGCACACGCTCTTGAACTTCATCGGCTCGCCGGTTAGGTATTCCTTCGGCGTCACCGCGTTCGCGAATATGTCCAGGAGGAAAGCTCCCGAGCACGGAGCGTGCACGCGGAATGCGACGATGTTCCCGACCACGGACTGTAAGGGCGAATTTTCAGATAAAATTTTAGCGCTCTCGTGCAACTGCTTTCGGGGAGAATTTTTCCACGCTTCGAGTAAATTTATCGGGGGAACGAGGCTACATTGAAAATCAATATTGGAAAACGTTAACATCATTGTCAACACTAAACGTCCACGTTTCGACACAGTCTGCCGGTCAATTAATTTGACTGGTCTACCAATTAATTAGCAGATGACTCGTGAATTTCTGTTAAGGGCCTCTCTCTCTCTCTCTATTCGTTCGATTACCCGTGTTCCCATATTCGACGGGAAAAACGAAGGGAATTTTTCGTGTTACCTGCATGACGAATCGTTTCAACGAAACACCGTCGTAACCGTCGCCGTCGTTGTCGTAGAACTTGAGATTGTAGTGAAAGATCAGGGAGGACTGCATATGAGCAGGCATCGCTATCCTGACGGTCGCCGCGCCCGTTGAATCCGTGTACATAACGGCATTCGTGTTCGTATCCGGAAAGTAAAGGCCGTACCTGACGAATTAACATAAATTACGTGTAGCTTTTTCTTACTCGAAGAAATTAAGAGGGCAAACATCGGGATCAAACAAACTGTGCTTACACACGACACTTTCGCGTTAGGAATTTCTTTTTCTCCGGCTGGATATTTGCACGGCGGAAAGTCGAGACTCACCTGAAGAACAAGGAGCGCACGAAAGGCAGCTCCTCGAAGTCTTTCAGCGAAATCGGTTGTTTGAGCAATTGCCACTCCTCTTGAAGAGGAAAGAATTCGTAGATGAATTCTCTTGGGTCCGTCAGGAAGTAGTGATCGTCGTATTCGTATCTGTGGAGGGTGAAATGCGACATTTCAGCGAGGTGTAATTGATGGAAGAGCCGTGAAACAGGTGTGAAAGAATATGAAATTTAATCACTGAAATGTCAATTTGAGTGAGGTGAAGAGCTCGAGTCGAAGCCTTGCAAACTCAACTCGACACCGATTTTCTCGTTAAAGCATACTTAAAAAGGTGATAAAAATATGGTAAAAGGTAGATAAGGGTTTGTACTGATCCAGTCACAGCCTCTGTTTGGCCTTTAAGCTATCCGAGGATTTGCCACGTCGTTCGTTCAGCACTTGTGACTTGAGATTTGAGGAGTTTCCATAAGACGCGTATAGTCGGTGGAAGAAATGTAGAGATCACAAATTAGAAGCATTAAATAATGTCACCAATTAATGCAGTAACACTCAGAATTGAATGTAGAATTTTTCAATCTTCAATTAGGAGTAAATCAAAGCTAAGGTATACCTCTTTAGGCCATGACTGAGCTTTCAGGTCTTTATCTTCTCAGTGTAAACTTTGACCAATTTTACCACCTCGCTACATTTCTTCCATCGACTATACACTATATCTCTTCCACCAACCGTACCTAAAAGAAAGTGCACAATTTTAACGCAGATAATTCACCTCAGACTGTCGTTCTTAGCTTTCGGTTGGCCAGGACGAGGAACTTCTTTGGCATTGACCAGATGTCTAGCCCCCCAATTGCACTGAACGAATCTCCACGCACCGGCTACGTAAACCGCGTTCCAACTGTTCCGAAATCGGTTGTCCTCGAAGCAAACTCCCGGTTGATAGCCGGCAGATTTGCTGTAACCCTTTATAACCACACAATGCAATCCGGCGTAACTGAAAGAAGACAAAAAGAAAAATATCTATGATACATAGGTGTTTTAGTCACGGGTGTGAAAACCTCTCCAAGTATCCTTTCGGTATCTGTCAGAAACATTGGGGTATATCGCACACTCGAGTTCCATTCGTCTAATTTTTCATACAAGGCTAGTCTAGCGGATGAATTATATTATGGGCGTGTCGTGAGAAAGATCGAAGCCATCGAGAAGTTAAATCGTTTTCTCTCTTGTGTATGTTATGTATACCTGCATAGTCGTTTGAAGAGAACGTGGTAACTTTCAGTCCCGTGTTTTATGCCTCTCAGCAAACCCATAGGCGTGTCCCCGCGCAGATTCTCGTCGAATTGCATGGTGTTTAGATTCTTCACGGTGATCCATCGGAATATCGTCCGGGCCTTCTCTATATCCGATCCGCATCTGCTCACCAACTGCCGCACCAAATCCGTGAACGTTTTCTGATCTTCCTGAGCTACCTGATTTGTTGAAAAAAAAAAAAAAAGAAGAGGTAGAAATTAAGTAATAAGAGTTTCTGAGGTTTCGCGATTTGGATCGCTTGAATTATTAATGGAATACCTGATTTGTTAAAAAAAAAACAGAGGGAAAATGAAATAATTACGGTTTCGATTGCTTTAATTATTAATCGAGGCTTCTTTAGATTAATTTTTTTTCTGTTCCAACGTTTCGTTACCGATGCGATTATCTTCGTTTCAATTTTGACAATTTTAGTATTAGCAGTGTGTTCATTTTTTTAATCCTGTTAAAGATAGAATACTGGAATATTGACCAAATGCTAGTTTAAACGCGGAAGCTTCGATTGATGATTTAAAAAATGAAATAACCATCTAGAAACACTCACGAAAGTATTAGAAAAGTCTCTAAAATCCTCAACTCCGTTAATACACAGGAAACACTTGAAAATGTCTAAAAACAGCCAACACAAGTCTCGCGAAATTTCAGCAAAGCAAATTCCGTAACTCAAACATATTCAAAAAAGGCAGGGAAAAAAAACTAATTCAGCTCCCGTTTGACCCTGTCACTCCCCTAATCACGGTACGATAACGTATAGCCCCGACACGACGTCGACGTCATAGACGATCGCCGTTACGACGTTATCCTGCGAATGAAAGAAAGCTCGTAAATCGATTACGCCTAGTCTCCCTTGTATATACGTCTATACGTATATATGTTAGACCGGATAAGAGGAGCGTCGTCGTCGTCGTCGGGAATATATGAAAATATCGTGGCCGATTCAAGGAGGCCGTTTAAAATTCCGCGGTGGTAACCATGAGCTGTGTGGTTCGTCGATGTTACATTTACACGAGAGAGGATCGCCTATGGTAAAAGCGGGGAGGGATGTAGAGGGAGAGAGCCGATACTACGAGCTGAAGCTTACCGAAATAGCTATCTGATCCATGTCAGCAAACTCCAGAGGATCATTGTAGATGTGATACTTGGCTAGGGCCGGGGGTTGAGGGGGTGGAGCACGCGACGGATAAGGCATAGGCGGTGCTTCCTGGGCATAACCGTCCCCCTCGTCGAGATAGAGGCTCTCCTGGCGCATATACTCGCTTCTCGCCTCATTGATCAGCTCCAACATCTCCGAGCTCTGTTTCTCCACCAACGCGGCGGTTGCCGCCCTGCAAATTGATCAAGAGTTACGAGCGGGCCGACACACGTGAACCGCGGAGGCCTGGCCTGGCACCGGCTGGCCTCGCGTCTGCAAATTCCAGCATAATGGTGAAACTTCGACCTGGTTTTAAATAAATAACCGGATGGAACTTCGTCTCCTCCACGGTTCCGAGTAGTACGTATGGGGGAATGGGTGATTGCCACGTTCGCGTTCAATTCGGGAAATAAGTGGAACTTCGGGGGGAAAGATCGTTCTACTGTTCTATCGTGGAAGTTGCTTCAACGCTTTCGTGACTGAATTTTGGTTTTTTCAGGATTTGGTTTTTGGTTATTTATTGACGTGTTCGTAGCGGATAGTAAATTCAGATCAATTTTTATTCGAGTATGTGTGCCATAAGAGTTAACCCTTTCGTGACCGAGTTCTTTTTTTTAAGAAATTTACACTTTTCTATAGATTATCGAGTTCGTAGTGGATAGTAAATTGAGATGAATTTTTGTTCGACTACTCAAGTGTTCTAATTTCTTTTCTGGTACTCTACCCCTGCACGAAAGGTTAATTTATAATTTTTTTTTGTGCTACGTTCCACTTTTTTCTTCTTTTTCGTTCATTTGAGAGATGAATTTAGTGCTTTTTCTCACAGAATTCAATATTTGTCAAGATTATCATGTTAAACTTCAGTGTCTCAATATCTATTCTTTCAGTAGTTTCCCTTGTCGAGAGAAACCATTCACAAGGTGCTACAATAAAATTCTCAGAAGTACCAAATTCCTTCTTGAAGCAGGTCCCACGTATTGTGGAACACACGAATAAACACATAAATAAATCGCAGTGTAACAGTCAGTTTCTTTCGTTACGGTTCCATCCACTTTCTACAATCTAAACCCCATTCTGTAAAAAATACTACACTACCTGAGAAAACACTATTGCAACACACGAAGTTTCGTGTAGAAAAGGGACCATTTTTTCCCGGTCGGAAAAGCAAACAAACGACAAGTTAAAGGGTTAATCACGGGTCAGCTGACTGAAAGTTCGAGGGAGTGTTGCCTCCTTCACGGATCTTACAATGAGGCGTAATCAGAGCAGCGCGGTATGGAATCAGTTTAATTAGGTAATGAGTACCGTTCGTGCTCGAGCATTTTGCGCGTGAGACTTTCCTTCTTCTTGTCCCTGCGCAGAGTCATGTTCTTCTCTAAATCCTCTTTCTCCTGTTGAAATTGCTGTGCCCGTGCTCTTCCGCCTTTTTCGCGTTCCCATCTTGCCGATAGCTGTTCCAGCTCTTTCTCCCATTCGTCCTGTTTCGACAGAGAAACACACCATCTGTTACAATCACGCGCAACTTACCAAACAATCGAGTCTCCGTTAATTAAAATCACGAAACGAAGGAATCTACGTACCCTAAATTCCTCGCGAATTCGTCTGTCCTCCTCTTCACGATGATGAGCGAATTTTCTATAGAGGTCATCCTCTTCCTTGCGATGTTTCATCTCCAGTCTCGTTTGCTCATCTCGATCCTGTTAATCACGGCGTCGATAGAGAGAGAGAGAAAAATGAGAAAACCAGCGATCGAGAGATTTTCAATTGAAAAATCGCGCGCGTCCTTTCTCTCGGCGTAGAAAAGAAGGACGGTAAGGGGGAAGAAAGAGCATGATTTCTTGTGCATACGTCTGTCGGGTGGCTATTTAAAAATAACTCGACCGATCGAGTTTTCTTAATCGCGCTCGTTCGAGACGAACGAGTTTCACCGGGGACAAGACGCAATTAAACCGAAACGTCTTCTTCGTCTATCGAAAAGGCCGCGCCTAACCGTCCTGCAGCTTATAGCAATGGTCGTCCAGTTTTTTCCCTTAGGTTTACTTTCACGCCGTGTTTCTGCTTTCCTTCGAGCGAACAGTTGCTGCGCGCCGGAAACATCTAGCGTTCTACAATCGTCGCCGTGGACAAATTGAAGCGGCGAAAGAGAAACGAGACGAGCCGCGTCGGATGTTTCAATGGAGCAAATCCGTGGAATTCCCACGATCTCGTCTTCGTTGGACCTGGTTTAGCAGAGGCGACACGAGATCGAAGAGAGAACTCGGCTGGACGACGAGGTTGAAAAAGAACCTCTTCGGATTTGGCGTCGCGTTGCGCAACGCGATTTCCTCCGCGAGTCGGTCACGCGTACAAACTGAGAGGCCCACGCTACAGTTACGTCATCGTGGAGTACGTTATTGCGTGAAATAACCGCAAATAAGGACAATGTTAGGGAGTATTGACATCTCCATCGAGTTTAGAAGGACTTGGACGAGTCGTAGAGGGCGATTCAGTGGAGATGAGTCGGTGTTTTACAGGTGTAATTTAGCTTTGAAGTCTGAGGTGGTTTTGACGACTGAATTTTGGGGTTCGTTGTGACGTAATTCATCTAATATTCTACGGATTCTGAATTTAGTAATTTATTGTGGTGGAATGGAAGTCAGAGAAAAGGATTAGGACTTCAACAGGATACAGAGGATGATTCAATGGAGATGACTTCATGCTTCACAGATGCACTCTAGTTTTCAATTCAAAACACTCATTTCGATGACTGAATCTTGGGTTCGTTTAATATTCCACGGATTCTGAGTTTAATAATTTGCTACGATGGAATGGAAGTCAGTGAAAAGGATTAGAAGGACTTGAACAGGTTGTAGAGGATGATTCAAGAGAGATGACTTCATGTTTCACAGATGCACTTTAGTTTTCAATTCAGAAATAATTAATTTAATATTCCACACACTCTAAATTTAATTATTTATCGTGATAAAATGGAAGACAGTGGAAAGGAAAGCGCGACACCTTCACAGATTCACAATCCTACTATACGATATTAAATTTCTAAAATATTTCAAATTAAAAAAAAGAATGTCGCTACATAAATCAATTACCGTTATTAAAACAAAAATTAGTTCCTTTTAGAATTGCAAAAAATTCAGCAAAGACAACTTCGTTGCAACATAAATCCTCTAGATAATGCAATTAAAAGTATTCAAAGTAGTAACTGAAACTTCTCTCGAATATTTCCCATTTAAATTCACTCGAATCGCTTGTCAGAATTTTTAGCTACATTGCACGATCGTAAAACTGCATCTCCACCGTTGAATCGCGCTGTGCAGTAAGGAATGCTGCGGTCGAGCCAGCTAAAATTGCTTAGACGAGCGTCAGCCTCTCACGGCGACAGGTGCAATTAGCCTTTTTCCACAAAAAAAAAAAAAAGAAGAGACAGAAAGAAATGCAACACACTCGTAACAACCGAGTGGTTGCTGTTTCGAAATCGATGGTCATCGTTCGTTGTTCGTTCTGTGAATCTCGCGTCGCTCGTTCTCGAACAAACTGGTAAAAGTCTGTGGGTACCCTCGAGACGACGAGAAAGCGCACTAATAGGATTAATTCGGTCAATCTGTTTACTCGTGTCATTGAAGAAGTTATCTCCTTGGAGTTTTTCGCTCGAGACTCGACTGGTTGAAACCAACATTCCACGCGATCGAATTCTTCGACTTTTGTTTAGAGAAGTATACACTTCTTGTAATACCTGACGATCTACTCTGTGGTTTGCTATACAATTCTATTGGGTTGTGCGGAAAATTGTCGCATCTCTGTTTCTAATTGAGAACTGTGTAGATTGTCACTGAATAAAAGTTAAACGGCAGTTTCCTCGACTGTTAGAGGCGAATCCAACGCGTTATTGGAATTATTCGTAAGACGAACAGAGATGGATATAAGTGGAATTATGTTTTCTGCGGTGAAGGGTGGATGTTGAATTTTTCGTGGCAACGCTCCGCCGTAGAAAATATTGTAAAATTAAAAATTTGAGGGGTACGTCGGGTTTATCTTCAAATAACGAGTGAAACACCTTTCGGTTTTTGCCGCTATCTCAATTAGAAGCAGAGATATATCACTTTGAATTTTTCCTAAATTTCGCTTAGAACTTTCCGAACCACCGGGTATGTACTTCCCCGTTCAGCTTATGAATAATTTGAGGAGTGCGTTAGGTTCGTCTTCGAATAACAAGTAAAATACCTTTCGGGTTTTGCCGCTATCTCAATTAGAAACAGAGATATATCGATTCGAATTTTTCCTAAATTTCGCTACAAACTTTTCCGAATCACCCAATGCATTCCTATGTCGTTCATTGTGAAATTTTCTAGCCCCGTTAACTCCTGCCTTATCAAATTTACGTAAACTGGTTTGGCAAAGGTCCTTCGCCTCTGTGGATAAGAAAAAAGAAAAGAACAGCGGTCGTTAATAGGATTAATTCGATGAATTGAACGTCGTTAAAGAAATAATTCGCTTAGATGGCTGTTCGCGTGACTGGCTAACCAAGATTTTATAAGATAACTCCTTTCTGTTTACCATTTTCCTCGCATAGATAGCCGTGTTCAATTCGCGGATGCGCTCCGGTTAAACGTCGATTTTAAACCGAGGGTAATCGTGTCCGTCGCGCGTATCGATAAAGGAACGATGCCAGATGAAGTTTACGCTGTCTATTCAATTTCACGGAAAGTATCTTGTACCCTGGTTAATCCTTTCGTTCGTACACAGAAGATTTGTATCGGTCCGCCCTGTGATTAAACTCAAACACAGTTTCGCTAGATCGTCGTCTTCCGCTTTTCTACCGCGAGGATAACCAGATTTTTTTCTGCATTCGATTATACTTAACGATTTTCCCGGGGGTACGCGCGAAATTTTGTGTAAAAATTAGCAGAGATTTCTGGGCAGATCGAGAAGTGTTTCTGTGTAACGCGTTCAAATTAGAATATTTTGTACTTTCGAGTGTTTTCGACACCTCTGAGTGGAAAGACTTTAATTAAAAATTCAAACATCTTCCTTATTTCGTGACTGAGATCTGTTGTTAAATAGAGAACGAAATTAAGTCGAGTGCGCATAGAAAATTGCTACAAATTGAATCGGCACCCAAATTGTCAAGCAATAAAAATTTGACAATTCATAATGCTCATTGAATGATTACACATGGACACAAATAATTCACAACTGATACCGAACAATTTTTCAAAAATCATAAATGTCTTCGTAGTACTGAGAATCCAACAAACCAGAAACAGAGTTCCCCAAGCAACATCCTCCTATCGCCCCACGATCGTCATAAAACGATCCCAAATCAGGGCTTCCACCGAACCGCCCGACAAATCCTCCAGTCCCGCCGAAAAAGGAGAAGAAAGTAAGAATAAAATCTATAGAGGCGTGCTGACGATTGACCGCGACAGCGATTCCAATTAACATCCGTGGGCTGTTTGTTCGCGAAGGCGCGTGATAGGCGAACCACAATCGCTCTTTAAAACAGGATACGCACACGGCGTGTGTGTGTGTCTCTCCCCCGTCTCTCCTCGAGGCTGCTCGTTCTCTCGCGTACGACTCTTTCCGCGGCAACGAGCAACGATTCTCTAATTAACCATCAAGCGCGGTAGAGTACCGCAAGCGGAAGCGATTCTGCGAGAGCTTTGCTCCGCGTATGTATCTGTGTGTATGCACACGCCGCTTCAACGAGGGAGAAACGCGTTCTTCCGTGGTAACAGTTGGAGTAATGCTCACGAGGACGTTCGCCGCATTGTTCTCCGGATGCCCCGGAAGCCGCGTGAAGAAAGTCGAGCCGCGTGAAACCTTGACAGAGAGTAGATGAATACGGGAAAACGAGAAACGGGACGAGCCAACGGTTTTTCCACACAGCTCGCCCGATTTTTGCCGATCGTTTACGCTTCACGGTGCAACGACCATGTTTTCTCGCGATCGAACAACGACGGCTCACCGAGTGAAATTGCCCTGGTGGAAAGAGCCTGGTCTGTGTAGCCAATCCTCCGAGGTAATTCCTGATCTACGCGACTCTACGAATCCGTAGAAGAGATCGGTTAACTTATCCGTTTCTCGGTGCGAGGGAAAAAGGATCGACGACGGGTTTACGAGGGAAGTCGATAATTGGGAAAACGCGTGGGCAGACCGATCTCGATGGACCTGGTGATCCACGGTGGATGTAGAAAGTATAGATCCGTTTTAACAGCAGGAGCTAACGGTCTGAAGTCGAACATGCGCCACTGGTTATCATCGGTTTGCAATAAAATCGAAGAGATTTCGTTCCGCGTATTGAACTACCGCGGAACGTTTCTGGGTAGTGTAACGGAGGCCTCTGGTGTATCAGCTCGATTCGTACGTCTCGTTGTAAGAAGCTTTGAGGAGATTATCGTGCCAGCTGATCTTACTTATTCGAGAAGATGTTTTGGTTTATGGAGATTGAATTTGTTTCGTTTGCTGTTTGCTCGAGTAGCGATACTAGCGACTTTGTATTTTGAGGATAGTGTTTAGATTGTGAGTTTATGTTGGAAGATCTCCAGGTGGAGGAATAAAAGAAATTCTGTTTCTTTGGAGAAGTTGTCTGTCGATCGAGGTAATAATTTCTCCTATAGTGATACTCAACTTTAAGGGAACGTAAACTTAACAAAGCAAAAGTTATAAAAAAAAAGAATGCAATGGGTCGAAAATGACCCGAAGACAGTACTAGGCTTAGCCACAATCTGCACCACGAGTGTGACTCGCTACAAGAGAAGGGGTTGACGCTTTAACCTTTCAACTGAGTTCAGATCTAAAAATTGAACGTCTCTAATTTCCAATTAAAAATGAATACAGATTATATCTAATTATTCCATTTCTCTCCTTGCAAATGTGAATAAGATTTTATCAACCAAGTATTAATCAACCAATTTAAGTTAACTCGTCTTCCCCGTTTAAAAGGTTAATCAACGATCTCGCTATATTTCTTCCACCGACTGTACCTACTCACGAGGCACAAACTCCGACCATCATCCGGCGAACACACCTGGAAGACACGCTAAAACCGCAAAAATGTTAAAACAAGGATTGCTGAAATTCTAGGAATCTAGCAGAGCGGAAAGATTTTCGCGTTCCTCTCCGGGTTCGGTCTGCAGGAACGCGAAGGGAAACGAGGTGTGCGCGTGTGTGTGTGCTCGAGTATATCAGCTCTCGACCCTGCACGATGCCCACGCTACTTTCGTTTCGTAAGAAACGTGTGCACGCAGGTAGGCAGGACATTCGCGAAATACTATAAATAACGATGGCGGTGGCGGGACGCGTTTTGCTGGATGTGCACACGCGAAAGCGGATTGAGAGAAAACGCGGCGATAGTGGAGCGACTAGCGGCTCGGCCTTCTTCTTCTTCTACGGTTAAGCGGCGGACCGATGGGAAAAGCAAGCCCGACAATCTCATTTTCATGTAGGGTCCGTCTTCGTCGCGGTACACATTCCACGCTTGTCACACGATTCGCGCATGAAAGTCACGGAGCGGTGCTCCCGGTGGCCACGGGAATACCGGGCCCGCATTCCGCGCGATCGGAAATTCGGGCTTCCTGACGATTTTCCCATTAAAACGAGGTCCAACGTCTGGCGACGCGTGTTTCTCGGTCCAGCTAATCAACGAACCACGCCACGCCGTGTGCTCGACGATTTCTACGCGCCGCTGAGCACCGTCGAAATACCTGATTTTATTGTGCCACCAAAGGGGACGTGGATATCTCGCAGCTCGAGAAAACCGGATGTACTCGCGATCGATGATCGGTACCGGCACGCGGAACAGTTATTATTCGCGGAGATTAGTCGAACGAGGGTAGGGTACTTTGTGGTTTCGAAGTATTGGGATAGACATTGTGTTTCGTGTGATTTTTATTGCATTTTTTTTTTTTTGGTCAAAGAAAGAAGATATGGTGCTTTGTGGTTTGTAGGTATTGGGACAGCCATTAGGTTTCGTGTAGAAAGTATCGTGTGATTTATGTTGCATTTCTTTGTAAAAGCTGGTGTTGTGTGTATAGTGTGAAAAATTATGTAGGTGTATTATTTTTTTCTAGAGTGTTAACGTTTTGGGATGACTTCTGTGTGTTCGATAATTTTGTGTTGAATTTGGAATGACGGTAAGGATTGCTTCGTATTCGGTAAATCGATTTTGGTAGGTTTTAGTAAAATGTAGTAAATTTCAGTAGATTTTAGTAAAATTCAATAGACGTCTGTGAAATTCGGTGGATTTCAGTATGTTTTCATAGGTTTCAACAGATTTGAATAGATTTTACTGGAATATGGTAGATTATAATAGAATTTAGCAGATTTTAGTACATTTCTGTGGGTAGACTTTAACAGAATTCAGTAGAATTTACCAGCTTTTAATAGATTTTGGTAGATTTCAATAGACTGCAGTAGATTTTAGAAGATTTTCGGCACATTTGATAGATTTCATTAAATTTCTGCATGCTTCAAATTTATCAAGTGTCTTAAAACTCACGAACCCGACTGTATTCGAACTAACGCTAGTTGGATGATTATTTTCTTCCGGATTCTTAGACAGATCGAGATAATTGAACGTTATGTTAGAATGGATTTATAGTTTCGCGCCTTTGGAATATTATTCTGGGTTACCGGTGGTATATAACGCCGAGGATAGGTGATTTAATTGACGGTAATTGGGTACATGGTTGGTTAATCGTAAGTGCATTATCAGAATTTACCAGTATGTACATATACAACGAGATGAGTTAATGTAATAGAACTGGAATGTTTATAACTCAATTAGCAGAATGTAATTCGTATTAAATAGTTAAATAGGGGGGGATTGTGAAATTCAGATAAGCGTTTGCTGTATTGTTAAAGGCTTTCTTAATCGGGTCATCGCTACAAAGGATGTATTATTCAGGGATATTATTAACGCACTGAAAAACAAATTTCTTCAGATTTTACCGGAATGGACAGAGTACACAAGGCGACCTCCATTTTAATTCACGTTTCTTAATCTTTTAATCAGCGAGGTCGAGTTAATTCGCTATTTCAGAAGGTCTCTCCTGCTTTAAGGTATTAATATTGTGGATTTACCGATGGAAACATTTTTTTTCTCTTATAATTAAGCTAATAGTCTTTGAATTTTAAGAATCTCTAATAAAATGTTATTCACGTGTATTACTTTAACTACAACATTATTCTTATCAAACACTATACTTTCTACAGTGACGCTCTTGTGAAGTGATTCCCTTTCACATAAAAATTAATTTATTTTCAAAGTTAACTCAAAAATTAAATTCTTTCACACCAAAATGAATTTCATTTTCTGCAGATATCTAAAAATCAACCATTTCTCATATCACTCTTCCAGCAATTATCACCGACGCACGATACCACCTTTCTCACAAAAACCTAATTAAAATTTCAATCATGCAGTCCTTCCTACACGATCACAATGAGCGTCCTAATACTCGCGAACGCCGGTCTGTATCATTAAACATCTCACCGCGAGACTCTCGATCTTCCCTCACCCGGCTAGACGTCGAATTTTTCCGAATCGCGAGATGCAACGGTAGCGCATGATCGATCGCGCGATCATCCAAAGAGAGGCAAGAAACGCTCTCGCCTCGTTCCAGAGCTGTGAACGCTTTAGGATTTCTCGAGCGGTATCGCGGCGGGGGCAAAAGCGGGGAAAATAATATTTCAATAAAACTATCACGACCTCACCGAGGGTAATTAAGCGGATGCCGCGTAATTACGCGGGCAAGATCGACGTCGGAATAGAGGTAACCTCTCCCCCCGCGTGCCTAATATGGCGGTGACCGTGACGAATGATTTCACCGGACTATACGAATGACTCACCAGATAATAATCGATGGGCTTCTCGCGTGCCTTGCTGTAGCCCTTCTGAAGCTCCGTCTGCTTAAGGGCATGGGCGATGTGAAGCGCGCTCGCGTCGAATCTGCCATACTGGTAGCTCCCATCGCCGGAATAATTGTGGTTGTAAGGCGAGGACGCTCCTCCGCCCGCGTTCCCATGAACATCGCGATGAGACGAATTCGTGGCGGCTGGCGGTGAACCGTGTCCGTTTAGGTGCCTGGCACAATTAGGCGAGTCTACATTATCGTAACTGCAACAAAATTATGCAACGGGTCTTCAGGGGGGCCAGGGATCGTGGTATATCTTCATCGAATCGTCGCGGAGAAACGAGCGAGAATTTTCTTTTTTCACTTCGTCGGTGTTTCGGAGAAACGAAGTGGAAGAAGTGCGAATGAAAGAGGTCGGCGGACTTTTTGACCGTTTTCGAGGCAAGAGTAGCAGGGTATATACTATTAGGTCATTCCTAATCGTAAGTAATGTCGCTTTAGAAACTGAGTTTTAATACGAAAATAATTGGAGATGTATTGACCATTTGCCAATTTGTAGGTAATTTTGCAATGTTGTTTTCAAAAAAAAAATCTTATCTGTGGGATTAAAAAGTGATCTAACGTTAACTTTGAGTGATCTGTTCTTTTGAAGTTTCCGCCATTTAGGAGATAAATAACAATCCTTTGTCATTTTTCAGGCACCCTTTCAATCCTTTCAAAAAAATTCTTGTCTACGGGATTAAAAAACTGATCTAACGTTAACCTCGAGCGATCTATATTTTTGAAATTTCTGCTATTTAGAAAATTTTCTAGCGAACAGAATAGATAGTAAACCAACCATTAATTCCCACTTAAATTCTAATCAAAAATCTCATCATTCAGCAACCAATGTACCAATGGAAAAGTGTATTACACTTTTTTCCCCGCTACACAAGTTTCCCAAATGCGCTTCTCTACAGATTGTAAATGAAAAAAAGAAATGTCTCTTTTCGACGTATAGGAGCATCAAACAAAGATAAGAAGCGACATTACTTACAGAATGACCTAATACACACGGCAACCGTGATTTCCCTGCAACGTTCAGCTTCCGGCATTTAACATGCAAATACAACGATTCCACGGTCGCGCGACGCAAAACTGGGTCAACTTTTTCAACCAGGTCTTGGAAACGTTCCCCTGCGACGAGCGTCTGTATGTGCTCGACGCGGGCTCATCGGCGATTCAGCCGCGTTCCGACGAGCATCCTAGAGCTAATTACTTCACGGTGAAGCCGACGACGTGCCTGATTCATTGGATCGAACCGGGGGAAAATTCCGTGTAGCAGGCCTCGGCGCTGCATCGCTTATGAGAAATCCAAAGTCTCGGTTAAATGAATGTGTTACACCTCTCTCTTTCTCTCTTTCTCCCGCTTCTTCTCTTCTTCTTCTGGGTTCATTCACTTGCAACCATGCCTCTTCTTCTTCCTCTTTCTCTCTCTCTCGAGTGAACACGCGCGCGCTCCTTATGTCAGCCGGAGGCAGCTCGCGAAACGCGGCTACAAGAAATTCTTCCATTGCACGCGTAACCCGTGCTTTTGCACGTTGCTGCACGAAGGAGAAAACGACTGCGGACGATATATGTACACGACAGAATCGACCGGTTCGAGAATTTTTCGCCGATAAACCGGGACCGACTGTGAAATTTGGGAAAAATTCTCGCGACGAATCTCGCGATTTGCATAACGCTCCCGGTAGGAATAGAGTTCGAGGGAGGTTCCTTTTTTCGCTGCATCTTTTCGTGCACCACGAGCACACTTCCTGAACACGGTTGCAACAGGTATTTTCTCGCCGAATCGAGATTTTACAGTCTGGAGGGTGTAATTATGGTAAAACCTGGTTAATACGGGCTTTCGGTTTGATTTAAGTAGAGCACGCTCCTTCTTCTTTGAATTATACCGGAATCGAATAGGTTTCGCCGTTTCGTTTTTTCTTCTCGCGGAGATACGCTGGTATGCGATGATATCGCGCGTTCCTGATATCGATAATAAGAGCGCTGCTTTAATCGCGGCTACCCTCCTTTTCGATAGATATGGATTAAACCGTGGAAAGGCCGAAGATGGAGGCTTAATTTCAAGTTTAAAAATGTTTATTTTGTTAAAGGTAATTCAATAATTTATTAAATCTAATTCGTTTCTTTACAATCACTGATTACCATTATTGTCTATTATAATACTTATTTTACGAAGAAAGCTGTAATTTAAAATTTTCTAGAATTTTCTTCACTCTCACTTGGTCTTCCGTAATGTTAAGAACGTTTCTGATTGAATCACTGCATTTGAAAATTTTATTTTAGCAAATCTGATTCAACTTTCTCAGCAATTTTTCAATTTCTATTTTCTTTTTATTCCTTTTCTTCTCGCCTTAATTTGCACACCTGAATAACTCTTAAATTATGCATTCGTCAAAAAACTGTCTCATACAAAACTTGCATCGGTTTCAGGGAAGCATGAAGAAGTTTCTCAGTCTTTCGAAAATTTTCAATAAACGAAGCAAAACACCTCGTCAATTATCGAATTTAGTACTTTCGAACTTTCTCCTAAAAAAATACGCGATTCCGCTTAAAAAAGCGAGGTCGATCTTCAAACTTTCGAAACACTTCCACCCACGAAGAAAGTACCGTGCACACGTTATGTCTCTCTCAAACTCGTACAACTTTTTCAACTATTATACACAATTTATAAATTATTCAAGTTCACCTTGTATATGACAAAAAGAACTAATATCGTTAGTAATAGTAACAAGTAGCACAAACGACAGAGCGTTTCTCCTAACAGCCACGCAAACTTCCGGTTAAACGAACGTGAACTTGGAGGACAAACGTGTAGAGTTAATCGAGGAGAGAAGAGATTCGGAGCGAAGTTATTCTCGTTCTTTTCTTCCCGTCGATCGAAAGATGAACACGCGATCGGCGAAACGATCGTGGCCGCTCGGATCTCTCGGCGGCGAGCTCGTTATTTCAAGGAAATCGGGTCAGCCATTGACATTCCGGCCGGAGAGCAAGTGCGCTTCTCGCGCGCACAATCGCGGTTTCACACTTTGTTCGAGACTTGCTCGGGATTAAGGCCAATGTGGCGATGCGTTATGTAACGAAGATGAACCAGATGGCTGACACGTATGCATATAGGAACGACTTGGGGACGAGTGCGGGCCAAAAAGCGCCGCGGAATAATTGTCGACGAGGCAAGACGTGAGAAAAATTCAGCACGACTTATAGTGGAGTTGTAGAAAAGTGTCCGAGTTACGTGACGGATTTACCTAATTGCCGTACGAAAGCAGAGGAATTCATTTCGATTGTGATGGAAATTCGGGAGAAATCGAACACGAGATCTGCTTCTTCGGAATTCTGTCGTCGAAAGTTGCTCGATTTTTCAAATTTCTTTTTCTCTGAAAATCGATCTTGCACTAAAAATTTGTCGACAGATGAAGCCAAACGCTAGGAGCTGAGCAACGAAAATTGTATTTTTTTAAATTCTCTCGTCGAAGGTTGCTCCATTTCTGAAATCTCTCCTTCTCTGAAATTCCATTTTTGAATATAAACTCTTCGACAGATAAAAACGAATATTATGAACAGAACGATGAAAATTGGGAAAAATCGAACGCAGTTCTTTTTTTTTTTAATTTTCTCCTCGAAATTCGCTTCTGAAATTCGATTTTGCATTAAAAATTCATCGATAAACGAAGACAAACACTAACCGAATGAAAATATTGTATATTTTTTAATTCTCTCGTTGAAAGATGCTCGATTGAACCCCTTAACCCAGATTCTGCCGTAGTTGCGACAAAAACAGCTATATTAACAACAAAAATGAATCTTGATCCTAGCTTTCCTTTAAATTTACAAGACTGATGATTACCAAAAATAATGAATCCACAATACATCAGCTTTTCTCACCTAAAACAGTACTAAATCGGTAAATACCTCTGAGTCAATAAAGAGAATCATCAGTGAAGTGTATAAAATTCGATCTCAGCGCTAGAAATCCTTCGACAGATGATAAACGACGAGTCCACGGTAGAAGATTTTAACGATCACGAAGGTTAAACAACGCGATTAACAAACCGTTAACACTTCACCGTTTCAAGCAGAAAAGGCCGCCGCGCGACCATTTGTACTCCACTTAAGCGGCGATCTCGATTTAACAGCGAAGGGAAAGTGGTGAAACCGAACGTGAAGCCGAGTCGATCGACTTTCCGGCGTATCGTTGAAATCCCATTAAAACACAGGAAACGTAAAGAAGCCTTGTGCGTTAATTTTCTGCTGGCAGTGTTTTGTCCAGCAATTTACTTCTGACCCCTTCCCTTCTAACATCTAGTCACACTCCTGATGTAGATCGTCGTCGAGATATAACAAAAATGTAAAAAAAAAAAATTCCAATTTCAACTCTGACCTCATTTTTAATTTACAAGTCCGAGGATTATTAAATAGAAACTTTATGTAATTTCGTAATAATCGACGAGTATCTACCTGCCATTGGGAAATGTAGCTATTAAAAAATCACAAGGCAAGGGGCTAACTGCCTCCGATTAAAAGAGCAGAAAAAAATGGAGGAAGAAAAGAGTGGAACAACCAGAACCACGACGGACGACAATGGAATTTTAACGAGGAGCAACTCTCGTGGTCCAGGTTCGATTTTCCAATTAAGAAAATTACACGTATCGATCGTGCATAGGAAGTCTACCGGTGAACAGCGACCGATACAACGCGAAAAGAATAAAAAGGTGAAATGCTTACGTTAATTCTACGATCGCTTTCAAGGTATCGTTACGGTGTTGGTAAAACGTTCCCAGCGTAACTCAACCCGTAACCTTTGAAATGAGCAATACCAGTTGCGTACTTAGAACGCAGCCACGTCCTTGGAATTGTCAAACGCGTTTTAAAAAGTCCTAATTACGCCTGTGCCACGTCTACTTCTCCCCTCTCTCTCTCTCTCGATTTTCCTCTATTTGCATTTCGAAAATGACACGTTTGCAGCGATACAGCTCACTTTTTTTCCCCCCCGAACCGACGGGTAAGAACCGTTTCCGGCCACGAGGGAGCAAGAAGAAGAGGAGAACGCGAAGCATGCAAATAACTGGACTCGTTTTAAATCGACGCTGGTTGCCCCCACGTGTTACGCGTAACTAATTTCCTTATTATGGTTACTGTTATTTAATCAAGCCAGCTTTACACTCGCGGGAAGGCTGCGTTCGATGCATCCCAGAGCGTAGTAACGTTGCACCGTGAATACCGATTCGAGGATTCTTTTTCTTCTCTTCTTCGTTTCCCTTCGTAGAGCTGCCGTGATCACGGAGATACAACAGTATCGAGGGATCATTGTGTTGCGCTGATATCGCGATAAGCGTAACGGGGAAACGGTGAGAGGGTTGAATCGCCTTTAGATCCCTCGCGGTCCACTTCGTTTCTCACGTTTTCTGAGCAAACGTGATGCCACCTGAGAATTTCTTCGGGGAAACGAGCTCTGGTGTCGTAGAAAGCTTCCGAGGATAAAGAAGCTATTTTCATTTCTGAACCTTCATTCTCCCGTGAATTTTGTCAATTTTTTAATTTTTTTTTTGTGTGACGGAGAATATCTTGAAGGAAGCGAGCTTCGGTGTGGAAAGCTTCTGAGGATAAAGAAGGTATCTTTACTCCCGTGAAGTTTGTCAATTTTTTAATTTTTTCGTGCATTCAGAATCAGAGGTGCGATCTGAGAATATTTCAGGGAAACGAGCTCTGTGTAGAAAGCTTCTGAGGATAAGGAAGCTATTTGCACTTCTGAATGCTAATTCTCGAGTGAATTTTGTCAATTTTTAAAAATTTGTGCTCTCTTAATAATTAGCGTGGTAGCTTTCAATTCTTCACGAATCAGAGATGCGATCTGAGCTATTTTCATTTCTGAATGTTAATTTTCGGAGTGAATTTGGCCCATTTTCACATTTTTTCAAAAATAAATTGAAGCCTCCAAGATAAAGAAACAATCTGTGGAATAAACTGTGCCGTGTTAACAGTTAGGGTGGACGTTTTTAGCGCTTCACGATTAAGTCGAAGACGAATCAGACCGAGTGAACACAAGTTGAGTCGATACATCCATCTTGGTGCTAATTGATTCACCGAGGCAAGAGCAATTTCTTAGTGGACCAAATTAACACACTCTACTACCTTCTACTTAGCAAGTCTACAGCACACATCCGTTCCACGAACCTACCGCAAACTGCTACATCGCGAACGCGTAAAATTATCATCGGGGCTCGCTCCATTCGAGATAAAGGACCACTGGCAGATTTATGTACTGTTTAGGTCGTTAGGAGAGCGGAGTGGAATCTGGTCTGTGTAGAATCAATTTGCTGCGAGGGATCGAATGTTGATTAACACACGTTCCTTGTTGCAGAAAATTAAGCTTTCCAACGGAATTCTATTATATTCGTTTCACGCCGTTGGAACAAATTGATACTGGTTATCAGTAATTTACAAAAACATTTCGATTATCAGTAATCGATGAAATTTTCGCCATCGATAGTGAAAAATATTTTCCTTATCGATGTTGGTTATCAGTAACCAAACATTTTTTCTATTGATAATGGTTATCGTTAAGCAAACACAACTTTCGGTCATTTATATTGGTTACTCCTGACCAAAATGCCACATACTTTCTAGAACACTGCATTTGTGCACTTTTTCGCTGAACTGAAGTATCTTCAATTTTTACCTGTTGCAATGTGACACCAATTGCAGTTCCCTATCAATAAAGCGTTAACAAGCTCTATCGTATTACTAATAAAAACGCAAAGCAGTCCAATTAAAAGAAATTAAATTGACCTTGGAATCTCTCCCTTTATTCTACCTGTAAAAAAATCATTTACATCACATAATATCCCCCTCCATAACAAACATTTCTTCTCGTCTTCCAACTATTTTTTCATTATTTTCAAGAATTAAGCTATAAATTTCATTTTACTTGTTACTTAAAAATTTCCACGACATTTCTTACTTATAAATTTCCACAACATCTCTTACTTCTAATGTATCAGGTTGTCGCGTACGAAATAAAACTACAGACGTGGAGAGTTACACCGATATCTCGATCATCTGCAACAACCTAACACGCAACTTGGTGCGATCCAGTTAAAAGATAACAGCCTGTAAAGTAAAATAAAAGAAAGGGTCCCTTACCAAGACGGATAAACTCCCCGCGGCGACGCGCCTCCGGCTCTGATCTGCTCGTTGACGTAACCGCTCCTCGGCACGTTCAGCGCGCTCCTAATGCCCACGCTGGACCCGTCCAAGGTTCCTGGGCCCGGTTTTGGTACGTGGCTGCTACAGTACACCTCCTTGTCGTTGATCGTGTGCTGGTTGTTGTAGTATGTCTTCAGGGTCAGCTTGGTGCCGCATATCGCGCACTTGAAGCAACCCGCGTGAAAGAACGTGAAGTCCTTCAACGGGCCGACCCTGTCCACTTGGTACACGGTCTGAGCGCACCTAAGGCACGTGCTCTCGTAGAAGTTAGGCCGATACATCGTCCTCCACTGATGCAAACTCCCCTCCCTTTTAACTTCCGTTTCTCCCGATAATTCTCCGTTTGCGTATGTAAATATACAATCTGTTTAGTCCGCGCTGCACCTCGCTGTGGATGCCACCGCGTACGACCTTGATAAGAGAGAAGAGAGAAGCTTTGAGAAGAGATGTAGTAGGAAGGCTGTGGAATTGCGTGAAAAAGAGAGTTCGAATAGGTAATTACAGCGAGAGAAAGGTGGTGCTTTCGAAGGCAGTCGAGCAGACTGGATCGTAAATCTTCAACAAGGTGGAGCAATTGAGACAAAGTGAGGATTGTTATCGGGGGCGAGAGGATGTTGTTGAAGAAGGCGGTGGGCAAGAGGAATGCGTTAGAAAGTGACCTAATCGCGCATCCGGGCTTGGGGTAATGAATATTTCGTTTTTTTAGGGGTGTGTGTGAAATTTAGAAATCGAGTTGGGTCGTTATTGGATGCATTCTGTTGGGAATGTTCTGTGCTGTAAGATGGAGGAAGGAGAATTGAAATATTGGAAATTTCAGCACTACTGAGATATTGGGAATTTAGTGTTCTCTAGTATTTTTCTTTAGTGCAATTTTTCATTCAAATTTAGATTCTTGCCAAAATAGTGAACCCTAAATTTTAGGGGTGTCTGAGATTTATTAGAAAAATTGAGTTATGTCGTTACTGAAATATTGCAAATTTAATTTTCCGTGCTATTTTTCCTTAATCCAATTTCTCACTCAGATTCAGGTTCTTATTAAAACAATAAACACGTTAATATCAACAAATACTGCATTTCACAAATTTCGAAATGTTTTCAGTTCCAAGAGGTGAATAGTAGAACAGAGAATAATGCACCGAATGGACAGTGGAGTAATTGTTCCTTCCTAGCATTTATTCGTACGAAATAAAATACATTTTAAAATGGACCAAACCTGTACGGAAGACGGGTATTTAAATGTCGATTATATATATATTTTTAATGGTAGAGAGAAAGATGCAATTATTCCAATACGTCGCTCTTCTTTTTCGCACGGATGTGTGTTGAAGTTAAATGATTTAGTATAGATTGAAATGGAACACGCAAAAGTTACGGTTACCTGATGCCTGATTGTGATTTCATTCGATGTTTTTATTAACCACGTGATGCATAGGCATTTCTCAGAAGTTATGATTATCTCGTTTCGAGACACTGCTACTCGATGATATAATTACAAGCATCTGAAATGCTACTTCTCCACGCATCTATAGATCAATGGAACATTTCAAACTCATATTACAACTTCGTGCAATAATCACGTATTAATAATAACTCCACCAGTGTCTTGATTCTTTAAAAAAATTCCATTTTATTCGCGAAGAAGGGACAAATAATCATGTCCAACAAATTATACACGCTTATGCAAAACACTCGACGAATAATTACAATACACCTTTTCATCTCCAGTCCTCGATTCACCTGGTGTACCACTCGTTTCTAATTAATCCACGCAACCAAGATCTACTTAGAATACAAAACAGTTGCAAGAAAGAAAAAAAAAGAAGTAGCTTTTCGTGTAATAACAGGTTGAACGAAACACTTATTCAGATCTCGTGCGATCTCTCTTTTTTTCTTTCTTTCCCCACGACAAAATGCAGAAAGATGGAAAAAGCGTTTCATAAGTTCAACGATATTGCCCGGCAAAACGCGTGCCTTAATTGGCGGTAATTACCCTGCTGGAAAACACGCGCCCGCGAATCAGACCGAGGCTGTTTCTTAACTCTTTAATAATTATCCTCGCAGGATGTTTAGTAAAGAGAAAGAGGGATAAAAGGAGTAAAAAGAGAAGAAGAGGAAGAAGCACGTACAGGTGAGGAACAAAAGAAGAGACGTTGCATACGTAGCGCATTGCAGTTATGGAAACGTGTAACGATAGGATCTGGATCGGCGAGCGATTAAAAAAGGAGAAGGATTGGCCTAAACGCATCGACGTTGTTAAAAATGACCAAAGCCGCCGACACTTTCCTGTGTGTCGGGCTTTTGCAACAGAATCGTTGCCAATACTTTTCATAGTGGGCGACCCCGGCGAACGGATAATTGCAACAGATTTCACGAGCTCACGGTGCACGACGCCTGGTAATAACGTCATCGAGATTTTCACACGTGCGAACGAGCCGTACGTCCTCGTTAACGCTCCGCTCGGCGATAACCGCTTTCGTGTCCACGATAATCGCACCGCTGGAAATCGCATCTTTCATTCTTTTCACCCTCTATCCCTTTATCCGATCGTTTTTCGTACACGTATCCATTCTCTACCGGAGGCCTCGAACGTTCCGGCGAACCGACGAGTCGAAAATGGCCAACGACGTAGGTGCGAAAAATGAACGTGTGATTTTCAGCGTAAAAGCGTGTCTACCTTCATTTCGACACTTGCGTCGTTTGTCACTCGAGCAATGATAAAAGAAAATGGTAAAAAATTAATTACACAGACTTTACTAGTAATGTACCATTTTTGCCATTTGTCACTTCGTTTGCCATTTAAATTCCTCAGTGACGTAATAATGGCGAACGGAGTAAGGGAAGAATGCAAGTTCGTCAGGACGAACTCAAGCGTCGCAGGAGACTTTCTAAACGATCTGCGGCCGATTTTTCTGAAACGTTACTTCATTTTCATCAATTACACGTTAGAATCCAGCTACGATCGAAATTTCCCTTTTCCTCTCCGCGGTTCCCCGCGTCGACGAATTCTCCCGTTGCGCGGCTCGCGACCACAATGGCGATTACGTCATACCGTTAGCGACCATGCACAACAATACCGTAATAAATGCAGGATAGTCCGTCTCACGCATCACCGAATCACGGCTTTCCGCTCGTCAGCGACACGCACTGATTCGTTTTTTCAGCCTCGCGACCTCTCCTCGCTCGCGAATCACTCCGTGAAAGACGAAATTCGCGACGGAGGATGATGAGGACGTGCTGCAAACCTCTTCTTCCGTAGAACGAGCACACACACGCATACACGAGAAACGTCAGTCGGTTGCCGAGAGAAAGCATTTTATTTCACGATCATTCTGTCGATATGAAACTTGTTGCGTGTAAAGTTATACCACCGGCCTGTATCAATGGCGTGCAACGACGATTCTTTACGGCAGTCAGCCGTGGCGGACATTGAAAATACAGGATTGATAAGTGTATCGAACAATGGGGACTGGCTTGTTAGAAACGTTATCGATAGGAACGGGTGAATTAAGGAGGAAAAAGGATTCATCCACTGTGGAATATTATTTCGGTTAAACGAACGAACGAGATCGGTCACGTCCGTGGAACTTGGAACACTCTCGATTCGTATCTCGTGGAGCTACGTTAAGGGATACACACGGAAGTCGTTGGAAGACTTTATACGGGACGATAGCGCTCGTCGTATTCCGTCGGTTTAACGAAGAAACCGGGGCCCTCGATCGATCCGTGTCCCACGCTCTCGACGCGCCGGTAGTCGTAAACGCTTATGGCACGCTCGTAAATCGTATCGAGTGTTTCCATTTTTTTTTTTTCCTTCCCTTTTCCATCGCTACAAAAAACCGCGTTTTTCGTAATCGTAAAACTTTCGTCGCGCTCGAATAAATCGACGTCTGTCTCGCGTGCATGTTAATCGCGGCGGGTTGCGCAACCGTCGAAAGAGGAAATCGTAACGATCCACGGTAAAACGCGACACTTCCAATTACGGCTGCTCGTCGGTTTTCATTCATTCGAGTTACTCACGTGTGTGCGTGTGTATGTGAGATGAACAACGCAGTTTCGATACGTATATACATATACATACATATACCGCAGTTTGGCCCTAATTAATCGAGTCACGTAAAAGTCCCGCGATCGAACGACGAAAATGGTTTATCGGCCGTGTGACACACAGGCAGAACCGTCGAAAATTTCGCGGCGTCACGCATGTGAAAATTATTTATTGCATTCCTCGCGTCGTTTATCACTCGATAATACCCGCTTGAATACCCGGTGTCCCCATTCTGGCCCACCTTCTCCTAGGTATTTACGCTGGACGCGCACACGTACGTGCAAACGGCGTATTCGCACACGTAGAAAAATCTCTGGTCCACTGGTACAGACGACTCACACAGAGGGGGGAGGACAGCCACGTAACTTCTCTCGGCATTAAAGAAACGAGAAACTTTATCGAGGTGAATCGAGATGGTGCGTGGACCGTCGAAACACCGTCGAAAGCGTGCGTGATCTTCTTCACGCGGAGAGACACGGGCAACACAGGTTAACGGGCATTCGTTGTCCGATGGAAAAAGGCGTGTTCCCGTGTTTGCGACAGTTTGTCTGGTTACTTAACGCGCGAAAGTACCGGTGAATAGCAAGCATTCCATTGAACGGGCACATCGAAGGGGCCTGGTACACGTTGCACGGCTCTCTCTTTCTCTTTCTCTCCTTCTTTCTTCACCTCTTTCTCCTGCGATCCGAGAGAGAGAGAGGTTCGAACGATTCCGGCGAGAACCACGAGAATCGGTTCCTCGAGGCGCATCAGATTTGTCAAACACGTGTTATCGTGCGCGCAATAGGTAAGCATCGTGTTCAGTTTCTTACTATTATTTCAGTGTTTAGAGTATCGAACCACAGACCGGTCGTTCTAGCGGTAAGACAATTGGAGCAGCGAGAAGGATGAAAAAAAGAGGAAAATGGGCTGAGTATGCCACCACAGCAAGGCCAATAGAGGTTCCCCCTTTCCCCTCCTGTGTATAATACTCACGTTCTCATGCTTCCATGTCGAGCAACGTGGTCCACGAGAAACCTCGACACTCGTCCCGGAGCATCCTCTCCTCTCGCGAGCTTCTCGTTCTTCCTTCCTCCTCCTCTTCTTCTTCTCGAATAGAGGATAGACACACGAGATTTACTTTCTGTCGAAAGAGCCGTGATCCGTTTTACGCGGAAGCACGACACTATATGGAAAAATCGCGCACGATACCACGGACGTTCCGGTATGTTGCCGTCGCACCAAGCATTGAAATCACCAGGTGCCGATGATCACCGCGGGGCCAACTCGTGCAGCGTATATACTCGCGCCGCGCACCGACCGTGGACAGACAAAGAGGCGAGAATTCCAGGAACAGATCCACCTGCCAGGTAGCCAAACACGTATCCGTCCCTCACGGTTTTCTCTCAACAGGCTGAGAAATATCGTGTGATCACGAAGCACGACGGTCGAACAATTGTTTCAGATCTCTCTCTCTCTCTCTCGCTCTACTTCTCTCTGTCTTTACTCTCGGTCGTCTACAAATCGCGCGTAGAAACAGCACATGGAGGACCGGAATTGTCTCGACCTTAACGTCAAAGCGTACGAACGTTTTCTGGCACAGTTTTCGTGTGTCCGCCAACCTGGAATGAGGTCTCGCCACCAAGCGAGGTGGCCACGCGAGAGGTCGAACCTGAATATCGCCACCTGCTTCCTTCGACGTTCCAGGAAGATCTGAGGTGAGAGGGACGGCCATTTTGAGGGACCGTGCTGGCTCTCAGGTGGCGCTATGGTTGGAGAACCGTGGCTGTGCCGGTGTGGATGTCGCACTCCTTTACGTGCGCTCACCTGGCGAGGTTCTGTCTTTGTCACCTGCGGCAATCCACGCACATGCTTGTCGTTCGATTGTTCTTTACAGAATAATTCTACCTTCTGCTCTGTTTTCCTCTTTTCTTTATTTAATGGATTGTTAAATCGTGGAATTGTTCGTTACGATTGTAAATCGTGTAGGTGAGTACCGTAACGATTGTTCCAGGTTTCTCGAGCTCGTTGGAACGTGGTCCCGATTCACTACTTTCATTCGAGCGGCTGATCGATACGTGATGGGAAAAAAGAAAGCGGAGAACGAGTCGCGCGGATCTGTTTACCGAGATTGGTCACCACCGTTTTAGGATATTCTCTCTCTCTCTCTCTCTCTCTCTCGAGTAGGAACACATTTCGAAACTGTGAAAATATCGACACGCGCGCTCTACCCGAGTACCGTTCGATTTCTCGTAATTTTATTGGTTTAATTATAGACGAAATCGAGATCGTCGCGTCGCTTTAACGTCACCTTTTTTCTTCCCTACTTCTTTACGGCCAACTTTCACTGACGCATTGGGAACATGGCTCGATGGAATGTTCTGTCTTGACTCAAGCGATGACTGTTAATCTCCCGACGACAATGGGCGGATTGCAAAAGATCGATTGTACTGTTGACAGGTGTGTCAAGAATGGAAGCATTCTACGGTAGCGTTCGGGAAGTAGTGCATAAAAAGCCGCGTCAAATAATTACCAACACCTCGGTGGAAAAAAAATTCAGGTTAATTACAGTTCTCCGTTCTGCCATAAGAAACGAGCATTAACACTCTAACCTTTCACCCTTCTGACTTAATCTGTCTATAAAAATTTCAAGTAACTGCACTAACTAAAAATTCTTATTCGTTCAATTTTGATCGAATCTCAAACGAAAGTCGAGGAAACATTTCTCAGGCTTCAAAGGGTTGATACTTGTTTCAACGATACAATCGTGGAGTATCGGAGCAGAAACGTGTAATTTCGAAATCACACGTTATTACAAAAGTACGAACGATAATTATGTATCAAGCACACACGCGTGATCTCTGAATATCACCTCCATAGCAATCAAATCCTCCTAATTACATCTCCTTCCGTGAGAAGTCGGGGAAAAAGGTACTTCCGCTTAATGAATCTCTTACAGCCGCAAGGACGAAACGTTAAAGCTCCATCAACCTGCTTATGGTTGTTTTCACCCGGCGCGCCGAGATATCGCGCTTCGATATCTCGAATGAGATCATTTGCCTTGGGAGAGCGTACGGGCGGATCGCCGTAGGTGTACGGATGTGTTTTCGTCCGAAACGTATGAGCAGGTTGAACGCTATTAACGCCGCTGGGTTCGATAAGTTATTTCAACGAATTGTTAATAACCCACGGCGATCTCTCTTTCTTGGTATCGTGACGCGGCCAGGCTCGATTTAGCCGAAGTTTGCCCGTAGACTTGTTCCTCGCGAAATGAAAATTTAGCGAAAGAGAGAAAAAGGAGGAAAGTGTGAAAATGGGGGAGGGATAAGGGAGAGACGAGAAGTACGAAGTTTTCGCGCTGTGCTCCGGCATTTCGAGGCCCACGCGACCGGGAATGTTTCTACGCACGTGGGCAGCAAGTTGTAAGCGATGATGCAACGTGGATATAATACAGATGCAAATATAAGTCGGCAACAGTTAGCATATAATTACACCTTGCTGTATTTAGTTTTACGACTGTGTAACTTGGCCGCTTCGAATACTTTCTGCAGTTCTTTGCCCCCTTTTTTTTCCATCTTCTTCGTTGGTCGTTGTAAGCTACGTTGTAGATAGTGAAAAATACACCAGTGTGTGTATATATTTATTTATAAATCGAGAATAGCTTTTTATTTCAGACGTTCAATCGTTGCCAGCAATTGGTGTTCTAGCGGAAGACGTTTCGCAATAACTCCTCCATTTTGTAACATTTTCACTTTGGAAAAATTGGAGAGACGGCTGAAAGTTACGTTTACGTCTTCTGAGAAAATTGAAATTTTTTATTCAACAGCTACCTATGAAAAAATTCCCGAAATTTAGGTATTTTTAGACGTTTCAGGGTTGTGTATTCCCTTAAAGAATTGCCATAAGTGGAGTGAATGAAGGGTTCGTTGGATTTTTATGTGAAGGATAATATTGTGTGTAAGATATGAGAATGGTATTTTGTACATATTATTTGTTCAACTATCGATGTTCAATGTGACACCGATATTGAATGACCATTAGAGTTTGAATACGTTTCGCTTTGTTCGCTATGTATATTTATCGCTTGTATATACGTGTATACGGTTACATTACGAATCGTTGGAAGGACGATACATCCTGGTTTCATTTGTCGTTCCATATTAATCGGGAAATTAATTATCGAAAATGAATAGAGGAAGCCTGGCTCTCGTTGACTCATTATCAGCTTCGAAAAGGTCCAAGCAAGGCCGCCGTTTCCCCCCGTTTCAGAGCGATCAATGATACAATAAAACAATAGAATTAATTCACATTTATATCCCCTTGAAACGTAATCACTCTTCATGACCGATGACAGAAATCCAATCGGTAAAATGCATTACCGAAGTAAATCTATTTATTGGTCCTATGAATTTTTCAACAGTTTACCATACGTATCGTAAACAAGCCTCTATATATAAATTTCGTTCATTTTCACACGATATTTCGCCATCCTCGATGTGCGTTACGTTTATTTGATTTTTATGGAGCTGGAGGAAAAAAAGCGGGGAAAATATTTGGAAGAATATTTTACACGTAATTTCTGCGGTAATTTTATACCGGTAGGAGGGATTGACGTAAAACAGGGACTCAGACGATAAAATTTCATAACTCTGATATTAATTAAATAAAGAGGAAATTGAAATTGAAATCTTCGTCGAAAAATAGATTGCACATAACTTTTTAAGGAAAGGAAAAATGCGAGAAAATAACATTTTCCACTTGTATGCTATCTCTTTATACGCGTAATAAATTGAAAGAAATTTCAATTAAATTAATAAAGGAAGTAATAAATTTCGTTTAAATGAAGAAAATAAATAAAAAAATATTTTTGTGCATCTGAATTTCGTATCGCAATCATTTACACCTTCCTATACCCATCCCACCAGCGAATTAAATTTGCAATAGAATACAAACTTTCGGTGTCTCTTTATTAAATTACCCTAAATAATTTTCCAAACAGAAATTTTAATATAGTACCTACCAAAAAAAAAAAAAAAAAAATACAGCTTTCCTTCCTTTTCGTCCCGTAAACATTCCACGAGTACTGTCGCACTCGTGTCCCAATTTCCCCGTCCCGTGTTCCCCGTGGAATCTACAAGAGGAGAAAAAAAAGAAAAGAAACGAGGACCACCGTCGTCTCGGCGGTGTCGAAAAGAAGCTGTGAGGCACGGTCGATTTTCCTCGAGCAAGTGCCAGCAGCTCTAGCTTGTCTAAACGCGCTGCCGCGTCGCGATATATTTACGCGAACGGGGAGACTTCGGTAAAACGGTGGCATCGGTCCAGCAGCGAACGTTACGGAAATAGATTTCGGCTGGTGGCGATGCAACAGCTCCTTGTAGACGACGAACGCTGCCGAGCGTTCGGGAGCAGCCAGTACCGTGACGACCAGTTCCCGAGGAAAACCGGAGAAATCGCCTCCGCGAGGTCCCACATGAATGTGAGTGACGATCTTCCTTTCACGTGTTCCATTAAGACGAAAAAGAAAAAAAAAACCGCGTTGTATCGTGTGGTGGCGGTGCGTAACGCTCCTCGATACCGTGTACACAGTGCGTCCTTTGTTTTCTACGTGCACGTCGATAACACCGTCGGTGCATCGGCCTGGAAGCGCTCGACAGCGTGCAAGTGCATCCTCTCTCTTCTTCTTCCTCCTCTTCACAACTTTCCTCTATTCCCTTCCACTGGAAAACGTGTATATATCACGAGAGGTAGAGGCACCTCTCTCTTCCTCTACGAAACGCTTCTTCTTTTTGCATCGAAGTTGCGTAAAGACGGTGGATTTGAAACAGCTTCGAGAGCGAACACAGCCAGAGGTACGATGAGAGACGACACGAGCAACCGATGGGAATAACCAACTATTCAGTAAATTTCACCGGTTTTACTTTCGCGATGGAAGACAGATGAGCATGGTAAAAAAAAAAAAAAAAACGCACAATCGATGTGAACGTTCGTGTGATAGAGGTGCCACCGGGAAGAGGTGGATAAGCTACCGCGGAAGTTTCTGCAGATTTCACATTGCAGTTCCGCGTTTTGCACGTTGCACACCGGAAACGAGAACGGAGGAGGAGGAGATCGGTTTGTTTATGAAGGCGACACGCGATGCTTGCTGCGCTTCGTAGGAGCGGCGTACGCTTGGTGACACTATCGCGGCGAAAGCATCTTGGATAAATCCGCTTTTGCGCGGAAACCACGAAGAGGAACGGAGTCTCTTGTAGCGTTCGAATTTTCTGTTGGATCGGCTACACCGGTACTCTCCATGGTTTTACCTTCTCCTTAGGCCGTGATCTGTGACACGTGTCAATGAGACGATCAATCATGTTTAACGATTCCTCCCTTGGTAGGGAAGTATAACGAAAATTCCTTATTTTCTAACGTGATAGAGTTGGGAGGACAAGTCGACGCTGAAACGAAGCTCGTTAGCCGGAAGTGTGTGCGTGCGATAATAAAGCTCTCAGAGGGATATTATTACGTAGTTAGAAAAATGTTTTGAGAAGAAACTCGAGAGTGGGTAGGGGCTAGAGCTTGGAATACCTCCAACTTCTCTAGACTTTTGCAATTTCATCGAGAAATAGCGTTTCGTCGAGGCAATTCACGCCTTAAAATTAACTCGTCCCGCAGGTCGTTGATTAGAGAAATCACCTACGAATCTTCTCCGTTTTCCCCTGATTTTTCTCGGTAAAGGAGAGATACGGGAAAATCCAACGACGGTCCGTGGTGCGATCTAAATTTATAATTCTCGGAAATCAGATGCTTTGTTGCTCCCGTATTGTAGACAGAATAGCACCATAGAACAAAAGAGTGTGAACCGGCGGGAAGAACAGAAGGGGCAAACGTTCTAAAGATACGTATGGCTCTAATTCGAGGATCTAATTCATGCATGTGGAACTCATGCTGCCACGGTTCCAGCGGCAACCGTGGAATTATTCGACGTGAAAAATCGTTCCAACCGTGTTACTTGGTCTGCAAAATTTCGAAAGAACCGTCCCCTCGTTGTCTCGATTAATTTCGCGATAGAAAGAAACGCGTACCTGTTCCGGATAGGAAAATTGAATTCGAACGTTGGAATGGAATGTTGAATGAAAACCACGAACACAACAAACGCTTTGCAACTCACGCATTCCTTGTATCCGTGTCAACGTGAAGAAAATATAGCGTCGCGTGGCTCGATTTTATTTTCAGACGCGGAACACGATTTTTCCCCGCAGAAATAGATTCGATTTTGGCCCCTTCCGGCCGAGAATCAACTCGGTGACGTCACTCTTTCTCGAGGATCCACTCGAAAAATCTCGATTGTGCGTCTGTGGCGTCACTGCTCAGACACCCGGTCCAAGGTGCGATGACATGAATTCACGTATACCAGCTTGGCAGCTGAACACACGAATCCACCGATGCTGCCAGGTTGTCGCCTCGTTTCGGCAAAAATGCGGCACACCGATAAACAATCGAAACGATTGCCTTTGTGAATTCGAGCAGTAACGTGCACAATTTCGTAATCGTTTCGGGCGAAATTTAAAATTATCCCGTAAGTTTGTATCGAATTTTTTACAACGTATCTTGAAATTTTACGAAAAAGTTTAATCGCCTTCTGATTAGCAGAGCTATAAAACTTGCTTGATTTTTCGAATTGATAAAGAAAAATGATCGAAAGTTGATTAAAATTCATTTTCTACTTCTAACGTAACCTTAACCCATCTTTGTCAGCGAAACGAGCCTCGGCGTTTAAAACAGTAGCCCGCAGGATCTACTGTTTCATAGTATAATTAATAACATAAGAAGATATGAATAATTCATATATTATATCTAAATAAACAACCTATAATTCTCTTAAACGAACGAATAATTAATATTCCTCTATTCCAGAACCCGGGAGCTGAAAAATGGCGTCCGATGGCCATTTCGAACCCGTCTACCCGGTTGCGCATGGCCAGGTCCATGCCCCACTGGGTTCTGGTACGTAAAAACCTCGTCGTTCACTTCGCTACTCGATCCCAATCACTCTGATAATCACTCGAATACGCGATCTTTTGTATTTGGCCCCCCCCCCCAAAAAGGCGCAACAACAGAAGGAAGCGGAGCAACATCAGCAACGCCGACCACCGACCCCACCAAAAATCCCGCCGCCGTCGCTCTCCGGGGACTGTGGTGACCCAGACTACGAGATCATCGAATTTCCGACCCGACCGCAAGCACAGAAGATGTCCTCGACACCGAACGCCACGAAGTGTGCCCTGTGCGGCACCGAGAACGTGTTCGCTCGCTGCGACACCTGTAAAGGCAATTACTGCGAGGCCTGCGACGACATGAATCATAAACACCCGAAAAGAAAGCACCACGTACGAAGACGAATCTTAACGGAAATGGCGACGAAAACACGACCGCCGTTACCACCGAAAGGGGATAACATGTCGAATCCGCCGCCTATTCCACCACCAAGACGGAACCGCAAGAACGCTCAGGTAGGATGCAACCTATCCTGAGGCTTTCATCCCTTTTCGTGAATTTTCTTCCAGGCTGATGACGCCTCGTCTACCTTAGGTTACCATGCGCTTCCTCCAGGCTGTCTAGAGTTTTTACAGTGGCTCTTCGCGGGATTCGATTGAGATCACACGGGAAACCAGGTTGCGAGAATCCAGAATCTCTTCTTTTGCAAATTTCCACACAAATATTACCCCGTTTTCTATATCTAATTTTATTTATATTCCGATCGGTAAGACGAGTAGTTAACGTCTTCGCAGGCGAGAGGATGATTTCGTAAGAGGAGTCGCAACTTTGTCTCCGTTTGACTCGAATCGTTCTCACACGAATATTCTGTTGTACAAGAATAGATGTTGTTTGTTACTCGTTGTTAACTGTACACACCATACACGCTTCGAACGGCGCCCAGTCTTGTTGGTTTTCTGTCAGAAAGAGAGAGAGAGAGAGAGAGAAAAGAACAGGTCACACCGAGGCAACGTGAAGATTGTTAATCACGCGGCGTCACTTGCACGAGCTTCAAAAAGAGAAAAAAGAAAAAAGAAAAAACCCAGTAGCCTATAAGAGTTGTTGTTGTTGTTGTTGTTCTTGTTGTTGTTGCCCCAGAGAGATGCACCGAGAGAATTTTACAGAGACTTGATTATTATTGTATATTTGACGTTGTTTCTTCTTTAATACACCACGTTACCGCAAAAACACTACTGCCGTATTCACTGAAACCCGTTCACTCTTTTTCACACTGTAACAACGAGAAGTAACCGGTCGGTACAAACAAAAGAACAAAAAAAGGAAGTGCTGAAGTAATTTAACGTTACAACTTCGTAGAAACTTCATTTTCGCGCGTGCTTTCTCCTCGAGTGATTAGCACGACGGTGAATATGGCAGTGCACACGGTGAACAAGGTGGTTCGATTATTTCACGCACTGTTCCGTACTTCCCGTATATATAATATTGACACATGGTCTTTTCTAGTTCGTTTAAACATCGCTCATACATGTATATACACACGTTGATTATTTTCAGCTTACAGCCATCGCACACCTTCGCCAGAAATGTTTTTGCTAATTGTAGGATTAGAGATTTGGATTAAGATCGCTGCGAGTTTCATTTTTATTTCTACCGTTAAGTTGGTTGAAGTGTTGCAAGCTGTTGTTGTTCTCTCGTCGACGAATCGAGAGGAACAAATGGATTTATTTGATTTCGTTTTATACTAACGCTTTGTTTATCATCGATTTAGCCAAGCACGTCGCCGCCGCCATTTAATTATAGCGCTGCTGCCTTCAGTTGCGAGCACGCCGGCAATCTTTCTTTCTTTCCTTTCGAATGGTTCTACATCGAAAGTAGGCACTGCGATTAAAACGAACGAACAAAACGTATATACACACACATATTCGAACAGCAACGACGAAAACCATCAACGTCTACCGGACGATAAGTCTGTGCAAAATAGGAGCGTGTAATAAAGTTCAGATTTCGCGCTTAGGCTAAAACGACGCAAAACCAGGGACCCACGAATCTCTCCTTGATCGAGAGAGTCGGCAGCTTGAAGAGAACACTTCCGAACACCGCCAGGCCGCTGTCAGCCAATTTGGACACGAAAATCGTGTCGAAATCCACGCAGTCGGTGAACGCTAGCAGCAACGATGGAGCAGGAGCAATATCTGGCACCGACAAAATGTCTACCCTTCAGGTAAGCCATCCTGAGACTATTTTTGAGGCGATAGGAGACAGTTAACCCTTTGATAAACGAAAGTGTGAAGCACTCAACCCTTTGACAAGCAAAAGTTTGGATAAATATTTTTGCTAGCTGTTAAATAATTTGCGAACGAAAGGGTTAAATTGTTAACCGGATTCCTGGGTGAAGAATTGAAATGTTTTCCTGAAATTCTGAGTAATGTTCTTTTTTGGGGGATTTTGCAAATATTAATGTGGCATATAAAAATGGTGGATTATTGCTCTGGGTTCGTTGCTTTCGAAATTTGAAATTCCACTTAGTTTCTCTTTTCGGACTTTCACAAATGAAGGGTTAATAGGAAAAACCAACGAAGCTGAAAAATTGAAATTTTGCAAATGAAAGAAAAGTAAAATTATTATTTATTTCCGAGTAAAATTATTTTTGAAAGGTTGGTTCAATGAAACACTAATTACGACTTAACTCGTCGCCCTTAATTAACAGTTTATCGAATTCGATGTCGCCATTTGACGTTAAATAAATAACACCCGCTCGATTATTCGTCGAATATCATTTATTACTACACACCGATATCACTTGGTAATGCGACAAGTTTCACTCTGTTCGTCGAGCATTATAAAATAGATACATAATTAATATTTCAAACGTTCACGTGTTACACGGTATACACTTGGTTGGTTAAGTACCATCTAGCAGTACGCCGCGATATTACATGCTAATAACGGACGTATGTTGAATGTGTAAAATGTGCCGCGTGGATACACACACGCATACACATGTAGGTAAAATATGAATAATGAAATTCACGTGTACGAATTGTTCAGGAGAGGTACAGGAAATATCAGGAAGCTATGAGAGCACAGGATGCGAACAGAAGAAGACATCCTTCCTCTGACATTTCGAGAGACACGATGAACGCAAGGCCGCTCAGTGTAGGCAGCCCGAAACTGGCGCCTCCGTTGCCGCCTCCGCCCCCGCCACCCAGATCTATGATGCAATCGGCCAGCGTCTGCGATTTATCGTCGCCGCACATGTGGAATCCGGGAATGCATCAGGTATAATCATCGTTAAATATGACAAACTTGGAATATTCGAAAGTAGAATTCTATGAACGATCGTAACGAAGATTTTTTTTTTGGAGGAGAGATTGATTTTAGGTATATCGATCATTTATTTTAATTTACTTTTAAAATTTGACGTGTAATTTTTTTTTATTATTATCTAGAGGCTATTTTCTGCGATGTTTCCTACGTTAAGTTGACAATCTCCTGTATTCCTTTGGGAAAAACATGATATTTGTTTCGTAACCGGTTTTTTGACCGGCTATGGTTACTGTTAACGACCATAATAAGATTATTTTTGCACACTCTTGAAAAAAGGTCGATTCCAAGTATACTGATGTTTTATTCTAATTTATTCCATGTAAATTCCCAATGGTACAGCCAGTCCTAAAAATTTCAGCGATTCTAGGTAACAATCACCTCGAAGGAGTAATTCAATTATTTCACAGGCTCAATCAATGGCTCATCTAGGCCCAGGAGGCATGCCAGTGATGTGGTACCCACCGAATGCCCCATGGGACATGACCATGGGTGGCTCCACGATGAGCCTGAACCATCCAGCAATGTGGGGTTACCCAATGGGATATCCTCCCTCGCAGATGCTTCCACCTCATTACCCAGGCTCGCTTTCGAGGCCGCACAGTCCGGCGAGAAGCGTGAAATCGAGCAGAAGATCGAGGGCAGCCTCGCCGTCTCCCAGTCTGAAATCGAGAAAATCACTGGCCACGAGATCACGATCGAGGAGATCGCAGGGATCGCCCTCCGACGCTAGCTCCGAGGACTCTGGAGAGTCGGACGTCGAAGACAGGCTCTCCCGAAGCTCCAGAGGCACCAGACGTGGCAGCGTGTCCAGGTCTGCCAGACAAAGAAGTTACCACGAAGAAGACGGCACCAGGAGCTTGTTGAACCGAAATCGTCGCGAGTAAGTGAAGATTTGGACCGCTCGATACTTGGACATTTCGCGAAATCGTTTAATACAATTGTTCGACGTCTCTCTTTCAGACGGCTGAGGTCGGAAGAAAGGATCGCCAGCACCGAGGACCAATGGTCGGAGACTCATTCGGCCAAAAGGTACCCGATGTCGCCGAAAAGTTACGACGAGTTCCAGAAGAACACGCTGAACTCGCGACGAAGATACGAGCAAGATGAACGCAGGCTCTCCAGGCTGGACACCCGATTAGATCGCGTTCAAAACGGCAGCTATCGTCGAAGACGAAGTACCGACGACGAGTCGTCCGACAGAAGATCCACTTTGCACACTCGATCCAGGGTCACCAGTTCCTCGGACGATCACTTCGAGAGATCTGAAATCGTTCCACCGCGAAGAGACGACGACGTGGTAACGAGAAGAGCTTCTTCCGTGAGAAGAGAAATACCTTTGGAGAATCTCGAACGATCCTCGCGTAGAGATTCTCGAAGATCCTCGATCGACAGTGATCCGCAGATCGCGAGGAAAACACCTGCTCGTGACGTGTCTTCGAGGAGAAACCAGGAAATAGAAAGAGTGAGCAACGTGCGTTCTGTTCGCGACAGCGAGAACGACGAGGTTGCGCCACGCGTTGCCACGAAGAATCTACGAAGTCGCGAGCCTTCTCGCGACAGAGAGGTGGTTTCGAGAAGAGACTCTTCGCTGAGGAGAGAAACTTCGATGGAGGAGGCGGACAGATCCTCCGTCAGAAGAAAATCATCTGTCGATTCTGATACTCAGAGTGCTAGGAAAACACCGTCTCACGAGCTTGCTTCCAAGAAGATCCAGGAAACCGAGGATCGTAGAAAAATTCAGGAAACTGAAGATCGTAGAAAAATCCAGGAAACCGAAGATCGTAGAAAAATCCAGGAAACCGAGGATCGTAGAAAAATTGAAGAAATTGAAGATCGCAGAAAAATCCAGGAAACCGACGATCGTGGGAGAGTCCAAGAAAATGAGAATCGAAGTGCGTCACGAGGAAGCAGCAGGAACCAAGAAGAAATTCGAGAAGTTAGACGCTCCGTGGAAAAGGAGAACCGAAGTGTGTCACGAGGTAGCAGTAGAAATCAGGAAGAAATTCGGGAAGTTAGGCGTTCCGTGGAAAAAGAGAAACGAAGCGAAGTGACTCCCGCGAAGAAGATAGAAAACGAGCAAGCTAAACGTCTGGAAAAGGTAGCTTCTTCGGAGAAAGAAGAAGAACACGTAATACCAAGCGTGGTTCAACAGAAACTGTCGAAAGACGTCGACGAATCGTTGATCACGATGGAAATACCTAAAGAAGAATGGGCGTGTGAGCACTGTACCTTCATCAACAACATAAAGGATCGTGTCTGCGTGGTTTGTTGCAAAACGAAGAGCAGCGAGTTGCCTCCGAGCAACGAAGAGAACTCAGAAGACGTTCCGAGTGTGTTGAGCGAGGTGACGAGAAGCGAATCAGCGACAACGTCCAGCAACGTGAGCAATCCCAGTTCAGATCTGGAGAAACGGACCGGCCTGTTGAAGATCTCGAACGGCGAAGAAAGCGGCGACAGTGGATCGACGAGGAACAAAGGTAGAGCAAGGCGCAAAATCAGCTTTTCGTTTGGTACCAAGTCGAATCAGTGATCGAAATTATTGTACCTGTTGCCTGTTGAATGTTTTTTTTCTCCAACCATCGATCCCACGACTTTCTCTCTATCTCCCCCTACTTTCTCCCCTTTTTTTACGAAAATCGAAGAAACAGATTGATAGAATACGATTGTTCCTTTTTGTCGATGTATACCCTTGGATGAATAATAAAGAGGCATGCAAACTGTTTCGTACACGATCAGTGGAAACCAAATGCATAGTCGTATTTGAAATGAAGCCACTCTTAAAGTTCATTATTCTCATCCTTTTATCTATCGATCATGTCTTACGATGCTTATTATTCATTCAAGAGGAGCTAGTTTCAAGCACGGCCGTGCATTTGGCTGGTGTTCTTTCCATCACAGAACTCGTTTGCAACTGTTTACCCGGTGCACTGTCCGTTGGAAATCCTGAGGGTTTGGTATTTAACAATTTCCACGTGGCCTTGAAACTGTAACTAGAAAAGAAACTTCAAAGTATACCTTGAAAGTCTGTTTAAAATTTTTTTTTTAAAATAAACGTACACAATCTGCTGGTTTAGCGAGCAGTCCAGTTCGCAAGTAGGTCAGAATAAAACAACAAATTACTCTATCCCAACACAGGAAGCGTTTATTGCTTCAAGGCTACGAAAGGGTTAAATAAAGTTCTCGCAAGCTTGCTCCAGAATGGTGTTTACCATCAATCCACGTGTCCAAGGTCTCGAATTTCCAGAATAACACGAAACCGACATCCAAAGAAAAAATCATCCGACTGCTTGAATTTTGCAGATAACGCGATGCTGGAAAATTCGTCCGCGGAAAATCCGAGAATTGAATCCTCCTCGAAAGACACGTCGACGCTGATAACGAACAGCGTATCAGTGGCCGCTGATAGCACTGACGCTGCAAACATTCACGTTCCCGCGAAAATAAACGTGGAAGAAGAGCCGACGAAACGACCGATGCTCGGAAAAATCCCCAAAAGTCATTCAGTTTCCACGGGGACTTCCCCGCCTCCTCAGAGCATTTCCACTCAAGTAAGAAGTTTCTTTCTTTTTCCTCCGTTCCGGTGAAAGAGCGACGATTCGAGAAAAGGTACTCACAGATGGGAACGTTTCATCGAATATGAAATCTGCTTTTCAGACGTACGACTACCTTCCACCTAGAGGAAGCGCGGGATTCGTGAGAGCTTCGTCCGTCTCGAAGGGATTATTGTATTATGAGGACAGCGACGCTGAGGTAAAGATTAATACGCTGATTCGCGAAATATTTTTTTGCCCGAGTGAAAGGGAGGAAAAGAAAAGTTTTGAACGTTAGGAAAGCGTGATTGTTTATTGAGAATGCAGTGAGTAGCATTAATTAAATTCACATGGTTTACTTCTCATCTTCTTGGAATAATGATTCTTGTTTGAAGTGACGAGAGAAGAGATTTGTAGATAAGTCGTTTAGAAGCACCGATAAAGATGTATTATTTCATCCTTCTTTCACTGCTCAAATATTTGCAATCACTGAAACAGAGAAAAAGGTAGAACCATTTCACTTTTCTTACCTTTGTTAGACTTAACTCTCTGTAATCCCATTTTTCCTCGTTCTGGAAAAATTCAAGCTGGTAATTATGCAATAGTAAATATAGGTAATCGTGCGATACACAATACAGATAAATAGACACGTATCTTCCAAATGACACGGTGTTACAGAGGACCAAAAATCCTCGTAAAAAATGCCAAAGAGAACGTTGAATTTCTACTGGCAACCGTCTAAATAAATTAGATCCAGCAACTACAAAGTGAATGTTTTAACGAGAACAGAACGATGCTGAGCATCTGTTTCAGGAGCAAAGCAGGTTCGCGAACAGCCCAGACCTGTATCCACGTACGATCCAGGAACAGTATCTTCAGCAGCTGATCAGCGGACCAAGCAGAGATCGTACGCGACGAAACTCGATCGACTCCACCCACCTTTATTACCGTTCCAGGGTAAAACTTGACAGATATCCCTCGAGCACCATTGGTTTCTAATCCAATCTAATCCCCAGTGCAATTTAACACGATTTTCGATTGTGGCAGTTTCCGTAGCCTCGGTGTGAACGTAGACAGGATACAGTACATTTTGACAAACCTCTCACAGCGTCGTTTCTACATACACCTATCGTTCCAAACGATCTTCTCAGAAACGATATTATTCATCCTCAATAAAAAAAAACAGCATTTCGTGCGAACGTTTTGGTTTTTTTCTTTTTTTTTCTTTCAACACTGTGTGACATTAATCGTACGATAGACCTAGCCTGAACGTAGCTCTTAAGCCTGTAACAAAGTTCATTCACGTTGTTAATTCTGTTTTATTATTCTACAGAAGGTGCATCTTACGGCGATGAAAACCTTTCTGCAAATTTGCACAGTTCGTGTTGGATGTTTCTCTAAGATTCGATCATCGACGCGTCTTCTGTTGCAGGAATCGAGCCAGCCGAGATTCCTCGACGCCGGTCCGAGCTCTCAAGGTGTTTCGACGTTGACCAGACAAGGATTGGAGATAGTGGAGCTTCTACGAGAAGCTGAGAAACACGGTTATTCCACGGACGATGTTCAAGTGGCTCTGTCGCAAGGTGCGAGCCATCCTATCGAGTGGCTGAGGACGCAGTGGCCGCATTTGGTGGAGACAGTGCAGATTCTGGTGACCACGCAGGGGAAAGAGCAGAAGGAGAACAATATAGGTGTGCTTTCTGCTGTCGAAGCGAAGGAAGCTTTAAGAGCAACGAAAGGAGACGTTTGGAACTCTGTTGCCATGGCTATTCAGCGTAGACAGCAAAAGGTAAAGGGTGCAGAGGTTTTGCCGCGTTTCGTTGACGAGAGAAAGTGAAACGATTGCGTTCCATAGTGCGAAGAAATCATGAAGAAGGGCAACTTTACGATGGCGGACGTGGTTAAAGCGTTGGAGAATAACGCCGGTGCCGAGGACGCGGCTTTGTTCGAGCTGCAAAAGAACCAGCTCAAGCCGTTCCTCATGAGGATCTGGGGTCCTCCGGTTGGGGTGGAAAACGACGAGGCTGCACCGCGGGAAGGTCAGCGGATATTGCGTGTTGATGGTCTGCTCGTGCAAAAGTAGTTAGTCGTGAATTAAACTGATTTTGGGTCGCATTTTTTAACGATGAATGGAAGAAAGAGAATTCGCTTTGAGAAGGATTGAAATTAATTTTATAGAAAGGAAGAGAGCTAACTAAACTGATTTTTGCTAGCATTTTTCAATAACGAATCGAAGAAAGAGAATTCACTTTGAGAATAGTAGAAACAAATTTTGTAGACAGGAGCGAAACTAAACTGATTTTTGCTAGCATTTTTCAATGATAAATCGAAGATTATGCATGGGACAAAATTCACTTTGCAAATAGTAGAAATAAATTTTAGGAATTTTGTGGAATGAATCAGTGCGATCTAAAATGATTTCTGATAGCATTTTTTAATAACAAATCGAAGATTACATATGAAGAAAGAGAATAGCAGGAAAAGTAACGAGTAATAAATTTTGAACGAGGAATTCTGTAGAGAGGATCTAAGCGGCCTAAACTGATGTTTGCCAGCACATTTTAATAAAAAATAGAAGATTACGTATGAAGAAAGAGAATTTGAGAATAGTAGACAAAGTAAGTAGTGAATTTTAGATGAGAAATTTTCTAGAAAGGAACGAAGCTGCTTAAACTAATTATCGATAGGATTTTTTAATAAAAAGTCGAAGATTCCGTATGGAGAAAAAATACTTTTAGCAACAGTGGATTGTTTCTGGATTGAAATTATTCGCTTCTCGCTGATTACTATTTATTATACCATCATAGCTTACATCGTTAAATTTCCAACAATGCCGGATCAAATTCTGCGGAATGCTGCGTCTGAATGTGAACGAGGCACAGTAACCCAGATAGCAAACTATGTTAACTTGTTGCACTTGCAGACCATATTTTAGTAATTCTAATGGGGCTTTCGCTTCCGTGTTTTATCCCCCTCTGCAATTCTTCATTCTTGAATTATACGTTAAATGAAGAGAAATGAATTTGATGAAAAAACGTGTTCCTGCGAGATGAGAATTTAGGTCGCGCCGTGATGAACCCGCATACTGTCTTAAATTTATTATATTTTCTGAAGGAATAATAAAGTCGAGAATGTTCAATATGACACACGATCTTCGTTATTAAATATTTCATAAACTACTCGGTATATTCTTTTCTTTCTAAAATAATTTACTTTTCGACAACATTATTTAAAGTCCTTTTTTTTTTTCTATTTTCAACCCTCAGCCTTGGAAATTTCTCATTGCACAAATGTCAACTCTATGAAATCCAAGCTTTTTCAAGATCTAATTCAATTTCAATTAAAAAAGAGAAAAACAGATTATCGGTGGCCCGCGTTATTCGATAAAAACCTAAAGCTCGAAATTTTGAATACCTTCTCACCCTCTCTTGGACACTCCAGAGTCGTCGGACGAATTTTTTCATCGAATCGACAATCTCGTCGTAGCTTTTCATTCACGATCATCGAGGTGAATTGTTTCAGATGCGGCAGGTGCGGTCGGTGGTGGAACGGGTATATCCGAACAGGTTTCCAACGTGTCGGACTCGGAAGCCAGGAAGCAGGTAATGTCACCAATCGTTGAAAATTTCGTCGCGTTGCAGGCCGACTTTCGAAAGCAACTGGCAGCCCTCAGACAACTGACCGATAACTGGCAACATGACAAAGACCCCCTGAACACGCTCGGTAATAAGCCTGATAATCTGTATCAAGTTAACACTGACGATCGAACCGTTCTAATCGATAAAAATCTGGTCCCAAGGGCCGTACAAGACCTCGATGTAGCCAACACTGTTAAAACACTGATGGACGAGCAACGAAAGTCGATCACTCAAGGCCAGACTAAATCATTCATACCTAAAATGACCGATACACCTGTCGTAATCGAGAAACACGATCAAAATAACAATTCCACGAAAACGATAATAGAAAACCATACTAGCGATATTCCAGAAACTACATCGAATCAGAATCTACCATTTTTAACCACAGAAAATGACAAAAACACTGGATCGAGGGAAGCGGAACAAAGAAATGCGGCTGAAATTGAAACAGAAAAGGTCGCAAGGAATACACCTATTTGCACGAAGAATCACGAGCAAAGAGACAGTTCTACGGTGAATTTAATCGAAAGAGTGGCTTCTAATCCTTCGGAAGATTCGTCGAAGCAAAGTCGAAGTGACAAACCGTCGGAGGGTGTTGAAGTCTCTGACAAAGAGCAGAAGAAACAAGTAGAAAAGGTGAAAGAACAGGAAGATAAGGGTGAAGCTACAGCTATCGTCTCGTCTTGCAGTGCCGAGAGAACGTCATCGGCTAGAGTAGAAAGGACGACGGAGAATGTAGAGCAAACGGCGAAGATGAGTTTAGAAGTAGCTTGTTCGCGGAAGGACGAGGAAGCGGCTGGTTCGCGCGTTAAAGAAAGCGAAACGACGTCCCAAAAGAGCCTGAATCCCGGGCAAAGCGGCGTACAAGTAGATAAAGCTTCCCCGTTGCGCTCGGAAAAAGACGAAACAGCGTCCCAAAAGGCTTCTGATCCTCGTCAAAGAGCCGTACAAGTAGATAAAGATTCCTGTTCGTCCGTGGCCGTCCCTTTGCGATCTAATGTATTGGACCACGGTTTCGTGCAAAGTGTATCCCAAAGATCTAACGAATTGACCGAAGATCCTCCGCCGCGGACCAATGGAACCGAGCCACCTGATTTAATAAACCAGAAAGTCGAAGAACCTCAAAGCTCCTTACCACAGCCAACAGTTTCCGTAGAATTAACCAAGGCACCTGAAAATACGAACGTACCAGAACCTGTCGACGCGAGAAACGTAGAAACGAGGGAGAAATTGGAGGAGATCGAAGATGTAACGAAAGTAAAATCCGGTGAAAATAGCTCTACGGAAGAACACGTCGAATGTCTGCGACAAAAAGCTCCTCAGACCGTGGATGCATTGATATCTGCCGTGAAATCGCTGCCGGAGCAATTACTAGGCCCGTTCATATCAGCAATGCAGATGTTGTCGTCAAAGAAATCGAGCATCGACGTCGAACGACCGAACATCCTCGACGCCGCGAGCAAAGAACACGGGGAGAGCACTTCGTCGACTTCTTTCGTTCTTCCAGCTTCCGAGAACGAAGCGACGAGGAGCGAAGTGGAGGAAGATGGGAAAAAGCTGGGACCGGATGCAGAGGAGTCCGCTGCGGACGAAACAACCGCGGCCGACGTCAAAAAGCTGCGAGACCTTGCTACGGTACGTACAACCGAGAAAAACGATTGCGTTTCGCGGACTAACGTAGTAAAAGGGGGGACGATAGCGGAGAAATTTGACGGGAATCAGGTCCCAGAGGATGAAACGCAGAGCGGAGAGATAAGAGAAGCGTCGACGTCTAACGTAAGTTGCGAAAAGTGTTCTCCGGAGGAGGTTGCCGTGGAACGAGCAGCTAATTTTGAGGAGGCGCACACGGTTCATTCGAGAACAGATTCATCTCATCGTAATCATTTTAACGAAATTCGTACTATCGTCGATGAAGGATCGTCGACAAAGGAAGCTGGCTTCGTGAAAGACGTCAAAGATGATTCTAGGCTTAACGACGCATCTTTGAACGGCGAATCAGCCACGAACGACGATAATCCGATGAAACATAACGAGACCATTGGCGCACAATCATTATCGAGCGAGACGTCATCCTCGTCCGTACGTGACTCGGGAACGTCTGTACGTGAATCATCCGACATGCAAATACGCTCGTCTATCGCTGGGGCTCCGGCTAGCGACGATAACCGTGTGAAATTAATTGATGCCAGTTTGGTGGCTGATAATGGACGCTCTGTGGCGAGCGCGGTCATTTCGGGGCATAAATCGCTTGATAGTAATCCGACTAATTCGAGCGTGATACAGCTAGCACCGCCTTTTCAGTTCCGCGATGTTCTAACGAATTCGGAATTTGTCAATTTGGAAACCTCTGCGAGGGAAACTTTGGGAAATTCTGAGTTCGGTGAGCAGAAAATTTCTGAGGATATGGAAGTTTCTGGACGAGAAATTATTGATTTTAAGGATCATTTTTGCACGGAGAATAAGATTTTGAAAGATTCTGCGGTTGGTCGAAATGAAATTTCTGTAGATCCGAAAGTTACAGTGGCTATCGTAGATTCTAGAAATAATGATAAAATTCCTGTAGATTTGAAACCCGCTGTTTCTGAAATTTTGCTAGATTTTGATATTGCTGCTAATGAAGCGTTGAGAGGTTCTGAAATTCCTGTTCGAGAGGCTCTTGAAAATAGCGTTCCCGCACAGCTTAAAGTTGTAGCTTCTGAAATTTCTGGGGATTCCACGTCTATTCCACGTGAAAATCGTAATAACGTCCAAGAAAATTCTAAACATACTATCTCTGAAATTTCAAGCGAATCTAAAACTGTTTTACAAATCTCCAAAGATTCCCAAATTCTTATTCAAAAGGTTTCTGAAAATTGTAAAAACATCGCTGACAAAATTTCAACAAACACACCTACAGTTTCCAAAATTTCTGAAGATGCTAAACCTAACTCACACGAAACCTCTAAAACTTCCCAAATTCTCGTTCAACAAACCCCAAAGGAATCTAACAATTCGAATCAAGAATTTTCTACAGATCCAAAAACGATTCCCGAAATTTCCGAAGCTGTTTCCCAAGGAATCCCCCCAAAATTCGTGCAACAGCCTAAAACGCTAGAAATCACTAATAAACCCACCAGCATCGTTCAAGAAACACCGAAAAACGCGTTGCATGTGTCTGAAAAAGTAGAGCAGCCAATCTCTGTCGCATGCCATATTCTTCAGAGCAGCGAGAAAATCGATACTCGTCCAATAACTTCAGTAAGTAAGCCGTTCGATACCGTAGAAACTTCCGAACAAATTAACATTCAATCGAAAGTAGAGAAAGACGTACCCGTGTCCAACGAAAACGAAGTCTCTCCCGATCAAATTGAAACTCATCCTCCGCTAACCACGAAAGAAAACGAATCAAACGACTCGAACCAAACAACGAACGATAAAAACGACCGAAAAATAAAGAAACAGGTCGGAAACGACGAAAAGATTCCATCGGTACTTTCCTACCCGATATCGAACAACCTCCAGGCAAATAAACCCTCCGAACCACTCAACCGTACCGAATCGGCAATTTTAACAATTTCAAGTGAGCCTCGTATTCCCGATTGCTCGTCGAGCTCGCATACTTTGGACACCGAATCCACCGTTAACAAGCCGAATTCAACGGATACTAAGAAAATTCCGGAGAGGCTCGTTTCTCCTAATAACGTGACCGATATCTCGCATAATCCTTCGAGCAAAGAAAGCGGCGTTTTCGAGTCGCATCTGCCCGATACGAATCTCGAAACTTATTCCGTTCGTAACGTGCCTGGAAACCTTAACGAATCTTCCGGTACGATTTCCTGTAACGATGAAAGTATCGCCAGGGATTCGAACAATAACGCGTCCAATATAGAATCGTCCGTTTCCGATGGAAACGAATCGAGCGAAACAGGAATTGCGAAGGAAAATTCTGCGCGATCGGACGTACCTGTAATAAATATATCAGAATTTAATTCCGCCGTTAATTCGATGGACAGCCGAGAGTGTTCCGTGGATGTTTCGCCGGGAATACCGGAGATCATAGAGATCAAAATCACGGAATCGCCGATGATAGCGGTGAACGATTGTGCGCCGATCGAGCTGCTGGAAAGTTCGTCGGAGAACGAATCGAGGAGGTGTTACGATACGGTAGAATCGAGGAAATTACGAGCAGAGAACGAAGTTAGGGAGAGGATTTCGGGAGAAAGTGTGGTGAACGTCGAAAATAACGTGGAAGTGGATGTAAATGAAGTTGATAAGAGGACGTTTACGTCGAGCGTAGCGGCTAAAGAGAGATCCAAATCTCCGGGCAAAAAGGCCAACAGAAGGAGGTCTCCTGTGAAAGTGGTGAAAAAACCAACGGGCATACCGAGGAGGAATTTCGGAAAAGTTAGCCCGAGAGGGACGGCTATAGCAAAAGCGAAGGAAACCGCGGCCGAAATAACTCGCAGATCGATCCTGTCGAATCAAACGTTCAGGGAGAACGCTGTGAAAGCTTGTACAAAGGTTGGAAAAAGCGATCCTGCGAACGTTACCGCGGGTAAAACGAAATCATCGTTGACCGGCATCGGGCAAAGGGAAATTTCAAAGAACTCGAAACCGACAGGATCAAAAGTGGCCGCCGGAGGAAAGAGGTCGACGATATTCCGAACGTTGTCGAAAGGTTGCGAACAGATTAAAAAATCGTTCGTGTCGACGCAAAGTCAGGTGAGAATGGACGAAGCGATGGTTGTTGAAGTAGGTTCGAAAGTAACCACCAGCCAAGTATCGAAAACGAAATCTTCTTTTCTCTCGAGGATTCCCGTGTTCACCGCGAGACGTCGAGTACCTCAACCACCTAAAACTTGCCAGCAATCTTGCAAAGTATCGGGCAACAAGTTAACGAGCACCACGATGAAACCGTCTACCATCCAGCAGCCTGCGAGGAAAACTAACCTGCCGGCGAGAGCTCCGAAGATTGAAGCGAGGAGAAAAATGGTGTCCGATAGGATCGAGATCGGAAATTTAAATGGCAAACGAACAACGATCCTCGTAAAAAATGAGGAGCCTCGGACGAGCTCCGAGGACAAAAGGAACGTGAACGGAGAAAAGAAAGCTGCGATAGAATCGAGGAGGAATGACAAAGAGGTAGACGTGACTGAATCGAACGAAGATTCGACTCTGCTCGATGAATTGGATTCGAACGAGGCAACTTCCAGCGAAGAATACGAGCTGGAAGAAGTTTCGGATAACGATACTTCCACGTCGGACTTCGAAAGCGCAGTGGAATCGGAAATATCGCACTCTTCCGACCACACTCTGGACAGCGTCGAAGAGTTGACCGACGCTGAGATTATGATACAAGAGACGATTAACGCGATAAAAGCGAAGATATCGGACTCGGAGTTCGAAGACACCGACGACGAATACGTGACTGATAACGAAAGCCAAGAGGAGGAATCTAATTCCAGCGAAGCTCACGCCGATCTAAGAGATTCTTCGTTCGAAGAGGAGGAAATGGAGGAATTCGAAGAAAACGAATCTTCCTCTTCCGAAGAAACAACCATAAGAGCTGACGACGTCGAACTGAAGCTTCTCCAACAAATAAGAAATAAACCAGAGAAAACAGTTGAAAAATCGATAGAAAATATCGTCACTGCTAAAGCTGAATCCTCTAAGAGACAACCCGAGGAACAATTACCGTCGTTGCCATTGAAGAATGGCGCAGGCAGGATCGAAGATAAATCGAGCAGGTTGAAGAAAAAGCGCGAAACAAATGACGACTCGGTGAAAAAGGTGGAGGATAAGTCGGAAGCTAAGGCTGAGACAGTGGGAAAAACTCGACGCGCGAACGACAAGCGAACGAAAGTTAGTCGAAGAGCGAGTACAGGCTGTGACAGGGGGCTGGATCAGGGAGGAACGTCGAAGAAACGATTCTCCTTGGTGGCCAGTTGTATACGTCGGTTCGAGGGCGAAGAAAAAACGGAACGGGAATACGTGGAAAGTAGGAGCGGCAACGTGAAGACAGGGGGATCTCCCAAAACGGAGAGGGAGGTCAGTAGTAGACGTCAGTTGTCAGAATCCACTTGTCGACTTTTGTCGGTCCTTTGCCGCTGACAGGGCCAATGTCTACAAACAGCTCTACAAAACGTGTATCGACGAAACAGAGAAAAAGAACAGTACGAAACGAAAAAAGAAATGACAATATCTGACGGCGCCCCGTTAGAGTTTTAACCCTGTTTTTCTTTCTTCTTCTTCTTCTTCCGACTGTTAGAGTACCTTTTCTTCCTTCTTCTTCTTCTTTTTGTTTTCTTCAAGCACACTTTTATCCAACTAGCGAGTAATAGAGTTGACTCTCTGTTTCGCGAGGTAAGTACTCATCTTCTGTTTCTTTTTTTCTCTCTCGTCGTGACTAATATCGCTGTTGTTTTATAGCATGTCGCTGTTGTTTCACCGTTGCTTCGCTCCGCGTGTTTGTGAATTAAAAAGTAAGAGAACCGGTGGTGTACACGCGAAAGCGTGCTCGAGGTTTGTACTACGTGCTTTCGCGAAGAAAGCACCGCGGGAGGTTTAATTTAATATCGCGAAACACGACTTTTCCATCGTCCAATTTGTTGGATGTTCTGGGGTTCTGTAGTTACTTAAACGCACGCAAATAACACGTTCTTCGTCGACGCAATCACGCGGCGTTTTGATTTCTTCTCTCTTCTCAAGAGAGGATAAAGAAGGGATTTTATATTGGAACGTCCGAAGCACGAACACTGAGTAATTTGTGAAAATTCATCTTGCATTCCTCGTGATCGCTCATTGACGTATTAACATTCCTTAATATTTCTCTCAGCTTGTAGACGTATTAAACGAACATTAATATTCTGTTCACGGGTTGCTCGGTATCACCGTCGAAACTTCCAGAGCTCGTTTCTAGACGTTGGTGTAGTCTCTCTCTGTCGTACTTTTGCATGTCACTTTTCTCGTGTACCATTCTATACACCGATCTCTATCCTAAAGCATAGAAATCCCATTACCTCTGAAAAGTCACCGTTCACCATTTCCATTATTTCTCCAAAATCCAATTCAACGAAAAATTCATCCGTACTCTTCTTAAATCGTCTTCACAATTCAGCCAAAAATTAATCGCAGAAAACAAAGCAGAGAATGTCAGGAGGATTCGTTTGCATTTACAGAGAATAGCACGTCGTCTTCTAGCAGAGGGCAAAGCGTCGAACTACGACGAAGCGGAAGTGGCTGCCAGTTTGCTAGCTCTAAAATTCGGGGACGTTGAAGCTCTCCAAGCGGCTAAAGAGTGTTCCAGCGTCGAGTCAGCGTTGGCCTTTTTGCAACAGGAGTGCGAATTGTGCACGGGTCGATTTGCAATGAGCCAGGTAAACCGAAAATCGAAGAGAAGAAACGTCAAAAGTATCATCCAAAGAAAATCCACCGTTTCCATAAAATCTTCCAGATGGTGTCCATGCTGAAGTGTGTTCATCGTTGTTGCAACGAGTGCGCGAAGAACTACTTCACCATTCAAATTAGCGACAGAAACATCACGGATGCAGTTTGTCCGTTTTGCAAAGAGCCAAATCTGAAGGACGCCGGCGAAGACGAAGTTTTAGAATATTTCAGCAACTTGGACATACAACTGAAGACACTTCTGGATCCTCCGATTCACGAATTGTTCCAAAGGAAACTTCGCGATAGAACGTTGATGCAAGATCCGAATTTCAAATGGTGCATTCAGGTGGTTTTCCTCTGTAGAGATTTTACTCGATCCCGTTGTCGAAAGGGGAAATTGGATGTAATGTAAATGTACGGTGGTTTCAGTGTTCGAGCGGATTTTACGCGGATCCGGATCACAAGCGATTAATTTGTCCGGACTGTCGATCGGTCACGTGCGCACTGTGTAGGAGGCCGGTACGTGCGGACGTTGATAATTGCACGAAAATTAAATGGAAGTTACGTAAGCGGGAACAAACATCCTCTGAGACGATGGTTTCACTTTCAGTGGGAGAAACAGCACGAAGGAATTACGTGCGAGCAATTTGCTGCTTGGAAAGACGAGAATGACCCGGATAATCAAGCCGCTGGCTTAGCCAAGCACCTCGCGGATAATGGAATAGATTGTCCTAAATGCAAATTCCGCTACTCTTTGTCCAGAGGAGGTAAGATTTTCGGGGCTAACGCCGACGTTTTAATTACACTGGTAAAAATGAATCTTTCGCGAAACAACAACGGGATACGATTTGCAAACGAAATTCCACTCTTTACACAGATTAACCCTTTAACTGATAGTGTGTATTCGTGAAACTGGCCGTTTAACGGCAGAAAAGAGAAGGTGGATAAGTGATGCTGAAGAAAAGAATACGTAGGCAATTTATAGAGAGAAATATCGATGTGAGAAGAATAAACGTGAGATAAATAGCGGTCCAGCTTAAAGTCTGCGTTTCACGAAATTTTTATTTCGCCTATTCGCGACAGCCGTAGTTAAAGGGTTAACGAAAGCCAATTTTTCAATTATTCCCAATATTAAAATAACATTGCAACAGAATTCTCTCGAGATATAATAGTGTGGGGGTTTTGGTATGAAAGAGTGAATGTGAGAGAGTTGGTGTGAATGGCCTGGAAAGGAAGAACGAATGGAAGACGATGTGTGAGTGTAAAACAAACGAGAAGCATCGAGCCGGAAGAGAACGAATCGGAGCAGCGGTGAGAAAAGAAGAGGCAGATTATAAGTGAACTATACTTTTTATTATAATAAACGCAAAGGTATTAACAAAATCCGACAATAGAGTCAGAGCTTCAGAATTTTTCACCTGGGAAATCAGGTTATTTAGGAGCAAAAGCTTGGAGAAAAGGAAACTTTGCAGAAAAACTGTGGGAGTGTGTGTATGTCGTATGCATGTTAGAATCTACTTTTAGTAACAGTAAATTAATAGCCTCGTAGTAAAAGAACAGCGTCCGGTAAGGTAACATCTGCAAAAAAATAGCATTTACCTCGTGAAACCTCTGTTTGCCAAATTCCTGTGTCGGTTTCACCGAAAACCAGTTTCAAATTTTCATTCGTCTGAACTGATCCGTTCTCTCGTGTGATACGATTCTCTCGTATGCGAGAAGAAGAAAACTCGCCACTTTTCTCATTCGTGCATCTAAATAGAAAATTCACGCCCGATACGAAAACACGGGAAAATCCCGTGAATTTTCCACAGGTTGTATGCACTTCACGTGTAGCCAGTGCAAGTACGAGTTTTGCTGCGGTTGCGGCAAAGCGTTCATGATGGGAGCGAAATGCTCGGTCAGCCAGTATTGCGCGAAACTGGGCCTTCACGCTCATCATCCGCGGAACTGTCTGTTCTATCTTCGCGATAAGGAGCCCGCGCAGTTGCAACAGCTGTTAAGAGATAATGGAATCGAGTACGACACCCAGGGTCTGGCCGGGGAGCGCAAGTGCAAAGTACAGTTGCAGAAAGAAACTCCCACCGGTGTTGTGGACGCGGTATGCAATTCAGACGTCGTTGAGGGACACGCTGGCCTTTGCAGGTAATTCGTTTGTTCCCGTGCAACTTTGCATGCGTAGCCATTATTACGACCGCCGTTCTTTTTTTTTCATAATTGAATACCTCTCTCTCTCTCTCTCTTTGAAAGTAAGAATAACGTTGTCGCTTAACGAGAAAAAAAATATTCGCACAATGGTGAAAATTGAAAGTAGAAAAGGGTGAAAATGTTACTCGTTATTTCTACACCAGACTCAATTGGTAAAAATGGCACAAGTGACTATTATTGTATTTATTATATAACGAGCAGTTATTTATATCTTCATTGCTTTATCAAACATTGCTCCTACTGCTTGACCAATTGTAGAGTACCACTCCAAGGTCGCTGCTCTCCCCTCGATTGTATCAATTACAAGAACCCAGTATTTTCTTTATTGCTATCTGTGCGTTTCCTTGTTGTTCCGCGAAATACTGCGTGAGAAGAATATACAGAAAAATGGAAAAAAGTAAATGTACGTACGAAAGAAAAGAATTGAGAAACAACGGGGAGAGACGTTCGATCTTGAGAATACGAAAAAAAAAAAGAAAAGAAAAATGATTACGATCATCGTTTAATGCATCCTTCGATATTCAGGATCCATTATGTCGAGTATCTAGTTCGAATGATACGGAACACACAACTGGAACCGCTTCCGTTGCTAAACGTAGACGATCTCGAGACATGCGTGAAACGTGCGGGAGTCAAGTTGCCCCCGAATTGGTACGGTCGTGATCCGGAACATTACAGGAGAGACTTGACCGAGGTAAACGAAGGGGCATCGTGCATGGCACGACTAAATTTCTGGGTACTTTTCCCCGCAGGCAGCACTACATTGAGTACTTGGCGGGCCTGGTACTGAAGGGCAAACTGGATCCCGCGGCGATCTTTGACTTGAACGACGCCAAGCAAGAGCTGCGCCGTAGGGGAAAAGTTCCCCCTGCGAAGGACCAGGAAATGTCCGAGCGGGATTATCTTGAGGCGTGCATTCAGGTGACTAACAACTCCTCTCCTGCGCTCCTGCCCCGACACACTGACCGAATTAACACGAAACGCATGAAAGTAGACCTTTACGCATGACTTTCGCAGCCGAAAAATTGCGATGTGAACGCGCGCGTACGTTCGCGCGATGTTATTGGAAAGAAAAAGAATAGTAGGCCGGAATTCATAGGTTAGACTTGTTTTCGTCGGTTTCCCCTTGTGCGTTTGAATACTTTTGTAAATTGGAATGGATAGTAATGTTTCCGATACGTTTAACGAGAACTTTTCGTTTTACTTGTAACTTTATTATTTTTTTAATATAACGATGTGTAACATTTGGAATGCTTTGCAGGTCGTACGGAAGGAGATTCCACTGGAGTGATAGAAGGGGGAATAATTAACATGCGACTTTATACGTGACTCACTCTCCTGATCCATTATGTATAGTGTATTTATTTTATTATGTGGACAACGATGTAGAGAACAATTTGCGATTAAAGTAAACGAAGATTGAAAGATGTCTAGTATTTAATGTACAAAAATAGTCGATCTTTTTAGAGTAGTGGTTTGAAAGGTGAATATCAGTTTCTTTTCTTTTTCTTTTTTTTTATAAACGAAGAGTGCCGAATGTTTTTTATGTAATAAACAACAATTTACAGTGTTTAGAGAAACTTTTATAAGATGCTTTAACAATAAATTAATTTTCAGCAAAGCTCTGATAAAAAGCTCTGTAGACTGTTCCTCTTTGGAGGTGTTGCAACTTTATTCACATAATCTTTTAATCGATTTATATTTAATTTTAACTTCTGAGTTGATTTAATAAAGTTTGTAGTGTTTCTCACTCTTTTTGTGTTTACTTTTTTCAATCCTCCTGAAATATTTTCTGTATTGGAGTTTACAGTTCCAGAAATGTTTAAACCAGCAGTCCTATCTTTGGTCCTTTTCTTTTTCCGTTTTTGACAGCTTTGAACACCTTCTGAACTGGTTTTTTGTATCTTCTCTCTTTGTGGTTTATTAAAAGCCATTTTTGTACTTTTTGAGCAAACTGAACATTTAATTATTAACTTGTTCATTTTATTTTTTAAACACTTTTCTACTAATTTTCTTCGAACTTTGGGTATTCTTTTGTTATTGTTATTCATAGAACATGCAACTTTTTTCATGGATTTGGAAAGTTCTTTACCTCTTGATATTCGAATGGTATAATCCACTGTTTCCCAAAGTGATCCACAATATGGACACATCACTGAAGGACTAAAATTTTGATATGGAAGTTGCATTCCTTCACCCAATGTTCTACATTTTTTGCTGAGATAAAATAATATCGGTATTTAATTTATATTGAATTCTTTATTCACTTAAAAATACATGCATAATTCTTACAATTACAGTTAAATGAAAGAAACAGATTAAAGCTTACATGTAAAACGTTTGCAAATTCTTAGTTTGTGAACAATTTAATTTTGTAATAAATTGATTCACATTCCACAAATGTGTTATTTTTTGCATATCTTTCGTTTACGCACGCACAAAATGAATTATTTGAAAAAGAGAATAACTTTCGTATTAATATCAAACGTTCTCAGCTCGTCCTAATATCGAATGTTCGTATAGATCTACACGCAGTCTACATATAGATAATACATCTTCAATGATCAAATACTTCCGCCTTAATGATATGTAATAATACTTAAACTTCTGAAAAGCAGTGTAAACGTTGAGAAGTGAGTACTTGCGGACGAAAGTGATCAAGTTGTGTTAAACTGTGTCGGTATAACGGCTGATAAAAGCGGTATTTTACATCGTAAACATATCACTCTGATACTCCAAAAAATTCCCGATTTTTATGATACCGTTACTAATTAACAGCGATCTTTGTTGTCGTTAGAAAACTAAAAAAAAGATAACAAGAATAACCTCAAAATACGATCAAATCGGAGACGTCACTATTATTGAGTAACAGGGTAGCCAACATATGAAATTTTTGAAGCGGTTACAGAATTCCTAAACCAATCCGTTAAAGATCTGCGATGTATTAATACGTTGTATATCCCTTCGAAAGAACGGTTTCTGTTCTATAAAGATAAAACCGTGGAGGGTGTTAGAAAAATTTGTATTTTGTCATCCTTGTCATCGGAGCACCGGGAGGACTGTCAAACACTACTTGAAATAAATTGCTGTCGTTAAGGGATAAATTAATAGATCAACATGGGAGACGGGAAGAAGGATGAGCGGCAACCGTTGTTAAAAAATGAAAATGCCAATTATAATTCACACAGCAGCGGTAAAAAATATACAATTTTGATCGCAGAAGGTTTAATTTTGTTCAATCCGACTGCTGGTTATTATCTATTATATTTTACTTTAGATGACGCGCTGTCAATTGTCAGTACAATACCTCAAATAGGCCCTGATGAACTACCACCTCTGTATGAAGCAGTCGAACATAGTACTATGCCTATGGTTACTTGCAGAGTTTGTCAGGGTATGATAGATATATATGGTAAAAGAGATCAACATGTTGTCAAATGTCCTCAGTGCAATGAAGCTACAGTAAGTACATAGACTAACTTATTTTACTACAAAACTACATATCAAAAGTGAAAGTGTTAATTATTTTTCTAGCCAATACGAAATGCACCACCAGGAAAGAAATATGTCCGTTGCCCGTGCAATTGTTTATTAATATGTAAGAGTTCTTCACAACGTATTGCTTGTCCAAGGCCAAACTGTAAACGTATTATTAATCTTGCTCCAAGTCCAATTACACCACCTGTTTTGACTATGCCTGGTATGTGTAGGGTAGGCTGTGCTCATTGTCATGATACATTTTTGGTAAGAATTTGCATAAAAGGCATGTTATTTATTGTTAAATTTGTAATGATTAATATCTGCAATATTACATTCCTTAGTTTAACACTTTGAATAATGCATTGGCACGATGTCCACATTGTCGAAAAATATCTTCTGTTGGTCCAGACTTTGCTAGAGGTCGAGGTATTGTATTCATCATTCTTGGAATAATAGCCTTAATAATTGCAATAGGTGTGACTGTAAGTACCTTTATAATATTTGATACTGTAATACAATTATGTAATCAAAATTTGAGACAATTTAAACAAATTGCTACTAGTACAATTTTCTTTTTCAGGTTGGAACACACACACATGCGAAAACTAGTGGTGGACTGTATGTAGCTTATGTTGGTAAGTGTGGTAAAATCTTTTTTAATTTTAAGTCTAAATTCAATATATGAATTTTTTATATGTAAAAACTAATTTATATGCTACTTAAGTAATAAGCTGTTCTGTTTACCAGGTCTTTTTTTTATTTTTATTTTCAGGTGCATTTCTCCTGGCACTTTTGTGCTTAGGACGCAGCATTTATTATTGTACAATGAAAATTAGTTTGTTAGAAGGTCCCATGTAGTCCCCTACATGACAATCAATTGCTAATATTTTAAAACCGATTCCTCTAACATCTATGTCGTATAATAATATATTTAGATCAAATGTTTATAGTAATATGACATACAAGTCCTTTTAGGACAATATTTGATAGATGTACATATATTTACATATGCATATGTAAGATTGAACTGGCAATAATGTGCAAACAGTCTTGCATATACATTTGCAGATTTACACATCACAGACAAAGAGAACGTGTAACTGATATATGACACTTTCTCACATAAGGTAATATAACTGAATAGAAGTACTAGACAAATAAGGGGTGTCCATTTTAAAAACAAGGGATTGTTCCTCTGCACTTTTATATACACGAGCACAGGACCAATACAACAACCCCATTATATTGTTTTCATATTTGAATTAAAATATACTATGTATGCTTTCTACAACACAGTAAATATATAAAATGCACATAGATATATACGCAAATAAAATATGCTCGCATGAATATTATTCCAATTATGAACAGCTATACATACAGCTATATATTTTGTGTTTCCATTTCCGTACTTACATTGTCGTTCAAATATGTTTTTAAAAAACTATAAATCAATATCATTTAAAAGACACATCTGAATTTGTGTATTATTTCACGTGCAAGTAAAATTATATAAAATACATGCATTAAATGTTATTATCTATTTTATTACCATTGTTGCAGAGTCCAAATTAGTTGAATTGTTTTTCTTTTTATTTTATTTATAACATACTTTGTGAGAACATAATCGTAATAAAGTTAGACTATCACATAATTGCAAATATTTAAATTGTTGCTTTCATGCGGGATGTACCCTATAAAAGTAAATTAAAATTCGAAACAGTTTCATAAACGTTTCAACAAATACATTTTTACAATATCAGACACAAAGATGTAAGTATATAAAATTTTTAGAATTGTTAAATTGATTGATTCATTACTTCGGGGAGAGAGAATATTTATGTATATCGTATAGATCAGGTAATTTTTATAATCTTCAAATTGTTAGTTAAAATTGAAATCTGATTCTTCGTTAGTAAATAGTCATTGTTATAAACTGCAGAATATGTTAGTTTCATATTTTATTGCGAACTCGACCTAAGCTTTTACCTGAAGTTCTAGTAACTTCACATGCGATAACATATACACATATATGTCGCATGTGTAGAAACGTCACTTGCCGCCTAAACTCTCAGCATGATCGTACCAATCAAAAGGTATTGTTATTTGTCATTTTTTTTTAAATATTGGTGCATTTAGTGTATTATATGAACAACAATTCCTTCATTATTTTATAGAGATGGTGAACTTGAAGAATGGGCAATTATTGAATTGCAAGGAGATTTAAAATTTCACTCCGCAGAAATTACGAATAAATACATCGGGGATTTACACTTTACAAAATCTGGTACACCTATACTTATAATCGGGATTTATGTACTGCATGGAAAGGAAGTGTCGCTTCCAAAACCTTTTGCTGTTTTAATAAAAAAACATAATGAAAATGAGAATACAATAGACACTTCTGAGATAAAAACTGAATATGTTGTTAAAGCAGTTGTAAAAAAAAAATTAATTTTTAGATCAAGGCCAAAACTTATTATAACAAATGTTCCAAAGTGTATTTAAGCTTATGTAAAAACATTATGCCTTATTGATGCAGTGTTATGTTAAACTTATTGGTCATCTTATCTTACAAGTAAAAAATATTATCCTAAATTAATTTACATATATTATAGCAGCTAGTCCTTCATTTCTCCTTCTTCATCTTCCTCTTCCACACCTCTTATATACATTACATTGTTACATCTGATTAAAACTTCACCAAGATTGCCAGTACAATTTCCATCTATATGTTCTTCTGTATTAGCTAATTGTAGGTTCATATATCCATCAACAGAGACAAGATAGCCCTTATATTCATGGCCCCATTTCAGTTTTACCATAACAGGTTTACCAGTTAAACCATTTAGGAATGGTTTTGGATTTATAGGCATTGTAGCAGCCATGGTGTCAATTTTTGCTTAAATGAAAGTAAATATGAAAAACAAAATTGGTTCAAATATTATTTGATAAATATTAACCTTAATATGGAGGTTACCTTTATGCATATAAATACTAGAAATATTCCAAGTTTATATCTGACATATTGTATTATTATAAAGTTATGTTCTATATATGAGTGAAAGTGTGTACTTACGTATTTAAACAGATAATATTGAGAAAAGAAATTTGAAGTTCGTGTAATCGCGTGCAAAACGGAACGGTTGTGACTAAAGTGGTCTGTCGTGTATTAGAAATGGCTGCTACTATAAGAAAATAACCTAACATGTCAAAACGCTTGTAACGTAACTTTCTACACATCTTTCTTTGAAAAACGTGATTACACTTTTCAAATTATTTATATGAATTTGTATAATTAAGCATAATTCTTTCAAAACATTGCCATCAAGAATTTTAGAGAAACAAAGGTTCGAAAGGTGTTTGATCGAATTTATTTGTGGTAAACTTTCGTTTCTTATTAGAAGCAATTATATTTCATTGATAATGAATATTTTACCGAAAAAAAGGTATAATTAAACTTTACATATATTATTGTTAAGTAACATTGATTTATGTGTAATTGAGATTATAAAAATTGTTTCTTTTAGGTGGCATGTACGTACTAAAGAAAATATTGCTCGTGTACGACGAGATGAAGCAAAAGCTGCAGATGAAGAACGAAGCAAACAAGAGCGAGTACAAAAAGCTGTAAGTATGGATGAAAATAAGAAAAACTACTTACTAATTGTTTATATGTTGTAATGTAATTGTAATAAAATCATGTCTTTAGGAAGCTGAAGCTAGAATTAATCTTCTGAGAGATAAAGCGAGATCAAAATATGATGGACGAATAGAAGCATCAAAAACTGAAACAGATGCATCTACTTCAAAAACATGGGATCATGTTAATTTTTTTGCTGAGCTTGAACAAGGAAAACTTGATTATAATAAACCTAATGCAGAACATGAGAAAGAACAAAAAGAAGAAAAAGAGAAATATGAGAAACAAATTGGCTATCTTACATACCTTGGACAAGATACTAATGAAGCAACAGGTAAGAAGAATTGGTATGAAGAATTACCTGAAAGATTAAAAGATACAGAAAAGGATGTGGAAGTACAAGTAACAAAAAAGGTACTGGATGATCCTATTCATGATATTAAAAAATATTTGAACATTATGGGAGCTGGTTCTATAGAAAAATCTTCAAAAATGAAGTTAGAGTCTATTAAAAGAAAAAAGGATGACTCTGATGAAAGTGATTCAGATCATAAAAGATCTGTAAAGAAACACAAGCACAAGAAGTCTAAAAAACATAAAAAGGAAAAGCACAAAGATAAAGAAAGACAATTTATGGAAAAACCAAATGTAGATGTAGAAAAATTAAGAGCTGAGAGATTATTAAGAGAACAGAGTGAAAAATTAAGGGCTGAAGCACTATTAGCTAAATTAAGAGGGGATCCGGTTCCAATAGTGGCTCCAGAGACATCTGCTAAACCTAGTATTAAACAAAAATACAATTCACAATTCTTTCCAGAAATTGCAAGACAAAATGCTGAAAAAACTCCTAATGTACATTCAATGAGAGAACACTAAAATGTAAGTTGGTTTTTGTGCAGTGTTTGCTACTATGTTGAAATGACAAATCCACTTGTGTTATAATTATGTAAACACCAATACATGTACTGATGTTCGAATGACGTTTTATAAGATTTATGTTTAGTTACCAGTACTAATAATAAAGTGCTGTTAAGTCAGTTGTTAGGTATAAAATATAATTGAATTCCTAAAATATTTTTAACTTGAAAAGTGCAATAAAGTCCTATATTTATAAAATATAAATAAAAAAAAACATGAGACAAGAGATTTTTAAATTACTGCCGAATGATATACTACTAGATATCCCTCGCAAATGTGGTTGATTATGCTAAATTTCGCGGTATCACGTGACGCAAGATGGTGGAATATCACGGATCTCATGGATAATGCATTAAAATTTGACGTTTATGTCATTTTTTCAGTATTCTTGTTCATCACCTGACTTAAATTCCTTGCTTGTAAGTAAAATTCTTTGCTTTTATACATATCAGACATTCTGATTCAACGTTTAAAGTTCTTTTTTAAATCTCGAAGCAGACGCGTAGAACGCGCGATTTACTTTCATGTAACATGATTTTCGAATTTGAACAGCTGTGAATATACTTAACTACAAAAAGATGACGATTTATGAAATTTTTTATCTTATACCGTAAAAATATAACAACTTGGCTTAGAATGTTATTAGAAAAGTTACATTTTTAAGTCATGTTACAAATCGACCTTAAGCTAACCTCTTTGCTAATTTATACGAATATCAACGTTTTGAAATACAATTGTAAATCAATATTCTATTTTATACATTTTAAAAATAAGAATACTTATGTTTGCCACATTTGACAAAGCATTTAAATTAGAATGGTAGAATATGCTCCAAATAAACAAATGTTGAAAGTTGTTTTGTTAGATAGAATGTACTATGTACGCTTATAATTTTTGTACGGTTGATAATACGTTAGTACTAACATATTGTAGTTTTTATGTGATATAGTATTAAATTATTATTTCTAAAGTATACTTAAAGACTTTGTATGATAGATTGAAATAAATGTTTATTTTTTATTTTGTAAATATTAATGTCTATATGCACTTGTATTACAGGCAAAATGTTACTAATAATTTGAACATTAAGTATTTTTTTATCGATATGGTTTAATTAAATATTATCACCATGAATGAAGAAACAAGTGTTGAAGATTCTTCATATCTAAGTTATGAAATAAATGGCACTAGATATATTCTGCAAACTGTATCAGATCCAGCCATAGATATAGCAAAAACAGTATCAGCTAATTCAGAACAAAATACAATTAATATAATAGATGAACCACAAATAGAAAAAGAGGATGAATCAATTTCTTTAGTTTGCTTAGATGGTCAAGTTTATGCATTTCAAAATGGAGAATTACAAGAATTAGATTTTAGTCAAGTTATAGATCAGAATGAATCACAAGAAAAAACAGTCTTGCTGTCTAAAGAAGATGATAATTATGATGCACAGTACATTACTAATGAAGGATTGATAATTGGAAATATTGATGAACACTCACAAGAACAATATGAAATTGTCACAGGACAGAATGAAAAGAACTTTATTGTAGAAAAACAGAATGTAAATGCTAATGATTTTGTGGAAGTTGTAACAGCATTCAAATGTAAAATATGTACTTATACTACTCAAGACAAAACCCAATTATTGCAGCATTTTCAGAAAACACATGTAAATCCAAAAGTGGATATAGAGGTAAGTTTGAAAATTATTCTTTGCACAAATATTTATATACACATTTTAATATTTTTATTTTAT